TGAATATATCTGTAATTTTTATTTATCATTTCATAAAAAAAAAAAAACCCAGATTAGCGATAACAAATTGTAATGATGTTTATTAAATTTGTTGTTCTAATTACATTGAATTATTAGAATAAATTTGTTTATCTCTTAGAAATAACAATTCCCCAATCTATCTCATTCAGTAATCTCTAATAGTTGAGAGAAGAGAAAACAGCATGTAACACTTTATCTGGTCCACCGCGTGTATGTTTTCACATACACACAATACGCACACGCGCGCGTATAAATAGATATCCTTTTGATTCTCTGTAGAGACTAATATAAGTCTTGATTTATACGGTTTAGATTTACACGGTTGCAATTTAAAGTATAAATCTAAGGTTGCTGCTTGTATTTCCTCGCACGGGTTTATAAATCGCGATCGTTCATGAACATTCACGAGGACGATTGACTACGACGAGGACACTACGACGATTGAGTGAAAGCGAGAACACGTTCAACTATAAACTGGAGCGCACGCGTCTATTGTAATCTGAAGAAGGCGTTGCTCGAATCGGTTAGCTGATTCATTCAAATTATATTTTGATTTTTATTATTATTTTACTATTATGTTATTATTTTTATTATTATTTATTTTTATTAAAATTAATATTTTCACAAAGGACATTTTTTTTTAAATGATATTTTGTAATTGACAAGTTGTGTGGTTTATATTGGAAACACGAGAATCAAGTTCTGTGTGTGTATGTTATGATGTATATGTGTTACAAGTGAATATATATATGTCCTGTCGTTTTTGTTTTAATCGAGAGACCCATCGAAGCATGGAAAACACGATTCGAGTTTTGTATGTATGAATATATGAATATATTGTAATGTATATGTGTTAGGGTTTAGCATAAGTATATCTTTATTTTTCTTTTTTTTTTATATTTCTTTTTATATTTTTTTAATTGAGAGATTTATCGAGGCGTGGGAACTCGAACCCCGGAGTCGTGTATTATGATGTATGTGTATATGTGGGTGTATATGTTGTGTTTGACGTTATCGTGAGAATAATTTACTAAGAAACAGAGGAACTTTCGTTCTCTTCGTGAAAGGCAAAGCTCTCGTAATAACGCCTTATTTCTTCGTCTACAAATAATTTCGCTTTGTCTTAGATTATCTTTGTTTCAGATATTTTAAGAAAATGCTAATTGTGTCTATTGAAAAATGAAAGTCTTATTGTTAAATAGAATTCTTTTTATATGCTTTCCCAAAAATGCCTAGCTTTGTCATTAATTGAATTATACAATTTAACACACACACAGAGTGTTAAATTTATTTTTTTATATCTTCTCTGATTTTTGTAAATTTTAATGGAATATATAATATTATTTTTAGTTACGATTGTAAAAGAAACGAACCTCTCAAACCCGTAAAAGGGAGAGTAATACAGTTAAAATATTCTTTCTGTTATTAAAGGGTTTACTCTTTGCTTTATTTTTTCTGGTTTTTTTTTTTCAGCTACCGAAAAGTGAAAGTCCTAAAGTTATTAAAATGTTGCCATTGTCGCAATAAATTCTTACGTTTTCCTTTGCACATCCTATGCATATCTTGTTTTGTTGCAGAGCCTATCTTTCGATAAAAGACTCTATATATTTTTCTGATCGAATTAACAGACCCCAACGTATTAAAAAACATTTATTTTCTGGACTTAACTGCATTGATTTCTGAGCCAAAATAAATAAATAAATAAATACGTTACAGTTTTTATTTAATTTTTACTAATGCTATTGAATTATATTTTTATTTGTCTTTAAATGTGCAATATTTATATTAGGATTGATAACTAATTTACAATATGATTTAAAACAAATTTTTTTTTGTATCCAGAGATAATCCAAGATAATTTGGATTAATAATAAAAAGTATTTAAGTTTAGATAAAATTAATTTAAGATTCTTTGATTTGATTATTCATGCTTCGAACTCCCAGAAACTTGTTTGATCCAAAGTAACAGAATTAAATTCGATCGATAGAAGAAGGCCGTATTTATACTTGCAGTGGAACGTTCTTCATGAAATAATAGCTTGAAATTACTTTGGCTGGTCAGACAACGAGAAAATTATTGAGAGTGGGAGAGGGGTGAACAAATCTTCCGATGTTTTCGTTCGTTAATACTGCGTAGAAAATACATAATACATTTATACATGTATGAATTTAATGTACATGCATGTAAATTATCTACGAAAGAAAAAAGAAAAGTATGTTCAATTATAGAATTTTTTTTTTTTTTTTAAATTTGCTCTTTTTTAAATTTATCTTTTATTATTAATTTTTTTTTAATTTGTATTATTATTTTTAAAAAAAGTACATAGTAAGCATATGTATATGATATTTTTTTTAAAACTATGCATATTCACTCAGTTGTTAACGTTCTTTCCTGCATACACTTTCGCAATTATTCATACTGTTGCTTCTTCACGCTTTCACGATGTTCTTTGCAATTCACGAATGTATCTTTTATCTCTTCCTAGTAAAAATTTTATAGATATATATATACTGATTTTTTTCCTATTTTTGTTTGAGAGAGAGAGAGAGAGAGAGAGAGAGAGAGAGCTAGAGATTTCTTTTTATGTAAGTTAATTAATATTTTCGTATTTTAATAATATGAGTTAGAAAGAAATATGGAAGTGTTTAGGTATTATATTGTTTAACGAAATACTCTAATATATTTAATTTAAAAACAAATTATCATTTCTAATGACATGTAGATTTTTACCGATCGATTAAAAAATAAAGAAAATATATTTCAAGTGAATATTATTCTGAAGTTTACTTATTTTTTTATCGTTTCTACATTTTATTAACAATAGGATCCCCCAAGAAGATACAAAACAGTTTATATTATATTGTTAGAATAAAAAAGAAAATATTTTATTTAAAAAATTGAATTTAGATTTAATCAACAGATAATTTTTATTGATCGAGTAAAAGTTAAACAAAAAAATAAATAAATAATAATAATAATTCTAATTCTAATTGTTACCGTTTCGATTTTTTAATAAACAAATCGAATTAGGAAGTTTGTCTCTTCTCTCTTTTTTTTTTTTTTTGATTTTTTCTTTAACGAAGAAAATACGTAACGATGTTCCTGAGGATGCTAGCTAACTCACTTATTTCTTATTTGATTCAAATTTGAGCTCGGTTATTTTTCGTGTGATGGTGCGAGAGGCAATGCGCCGGCAGCAACCTAACTCGTGATAATCCAATTGACGAGCATTGCGATTGACCTCCTTTGCTTGATGCGTGCTCGAAAGATGATAGTCATTATTCTTCTCTCTCTCTTTCTCTTTCTCTTTCTCTTTCTTTTTCTTTCTTTATATACTATATATTATTATTTAGATATATTAATCACACATTTGATTTTATACATATTTAATTACTTTTTTATTTTAGCACATATTTATTTATAATATTTTATAATATATACTTTATTTATTACTTTATTATTTTAATCAATAATTTAATACTTTAATTATTACTTTATTTATTTTGTTTAATTATTCTTTACGATTCGTTATATTTAATTATAATTTTATCGTTTTAGATTCGGTAGTTATCGATTTAGAAGAAGATGAACGAGATAACGTCGTGTTTGTTGTTCAGAGTTTGTTTAGGTGAGTTAAAGTTATTTTATAGTTTTGTAAGATAATTGTATCTTTCTGGAGTCGTGGGAATTAGGAAACGAAAGAAGGGGAAAGAAATAAGAAAATAAAAGGACAAATTTATGGCCACGACGACGCGTTGTCAACGACGTCGACAATGATGATGATGATGATACGTAGTTTGCAACGACGAAAAGCTGAACAAGTGATATTATTCCTGTAAAACCGGTTTTTAGATCCGTTAAACTCTTCTTCTTACCATGCCTATATTTCTCACGATTCAATAGTTTTATCGTATAACTTTAAAAAAAAAAAAGAAAATCTCTGAATTAACTTAATAAAAAGAAAAAAGTGTATTGCGCGATGATGGAATAAATTTATTATATTTCTTTATAAAACAAAAATATCTTAATCAATTTACTAATATAACAAGTAATACAAAATATATGTTTATAATTATTATTAAATTTAACTTCTATATATTTTATGAGATAACATTTATATTCATTTATAGATTGATAAATGTGTATAAAAATTATGAGTAACATTAGAAATTTATAAGAATAAAAGTATGTATATACATAAATTGAAAAAAAATTGAATTAAATTAAATGAATAAAATAATATAAAATACGCATGCACGTTAACGATAGAATCTAACGATTTGTACAAAATTAAAATAAACACATTTTCCTAGGTGTAATTTTATTAGCTTTTGTTGATGGAACAACGTCATCCAACCTATCAGAAAAACTTATTAGACTATCGAATAAAAATGAGGATTCGGAATCATCGTCATGGATTGTAGTTAATCCAGTTCAAGAAAATCAAGAAGAAGAACAAGAAAATAAAGGTGATTTGAAGCAAATCAAAGATTTCAAAGTATCTGATTTCGAAAATGAAAACTATAAGTCAAAAGAATCAACAAAAGAAGAAAAAGAAAAAGAAAAAGAAGAAGAAGAAAAAGTACAGACAACAATTCCTACAATGATTAACAATGAAACGAACGTAGACATATTAGAAGAGTTAGAAAATGTTAGCAGTATTGCTGTTACAACTACGATAGAATCAACTTCTTCATCTCCATTTTTGGACAATGAATTAGAATCGTTCGATCGTATGGAAAAACAAATCTTAGATAAATATAACGATGAAAATGATAATTTAAACAATACGAAGAATGTATCCTTGCATTCGAATGAAACTAAATCAACAACGAATGTACCAGAATCAACATTACCTGTATCATCGTCATTGTCCTTGCTTAATATAATTACTGATAAGAAACAACTGGAGTTAACTGAAGCTAATTTCATTACTGCTTCGACAATAAGAGATACATCGATTTACGAGAACACAATTGGTCGAAAGGATTCTGAAAAGAAGATAATCGTAACCGAGCCTTCTGTTGTTTTAGAGAATAGTATTCAACAATCAGAAGTATTTGGAAATAGTTTTAAAACTAGTAACAATAGTTCAATGATCGAATCAACTAGCTCTGTATCTTTGTCAAATAGCAGTACATCAACCGAATCTTCATCTATTGGAACTTCCACAATTGAAACTCTGACAACAAGAACATTCGTTCCATATATCCAATCGGAGAGCAACGATCCTAGCGATTTAACAGGAAATAAAATAACAGAAAGTGTTAGCTCAAATACAGTTGTATCAATGACCACTGTTGTTACCAGTGATTCCTCAGTTTTAGAAATGAGAACTACCGAAGAGAATAATTCAACTACCAAAGAAACTTTTACCGATGATAATTATTCGACAATTGGTACTGGTGATACCGATTTTTCAACGGAAACTACGTTAGAATCATCTGATCAATCTTCCGTTAACCCAACAACTAGTTCCTCATCTTATTCCAATAGTACGGTCGAATACGAATTTGTTGGATTAACGGAAAACAGTAGTAACACGATTGCAACGACAACTTTGATTCCAGAAGAGACTTTATCTGTAGTTCAAGAACAAACGGGTGTTAATATCACTAATAATGTGTCAGATTTAATTGAAAGTACAAGAAGTTTGTCCGAAATTGCATCATGGTCTAAATCTATCTCAGTTGAACATACTTTACCTGTTACATCTTCATCAAAAACGATTATTACCAGCAGCAGTAGTACACCTGGAAGTACAGAAAACAACATGATGATCAGTGTTGAAAGTACTACTGAAAGTTACGACGCAACACCACTCGTCAATGTTGTTACCCTAGATCTTCCAACTAGTACTTTCATTACAACCTTTCGTGACAAATTACCAACCGGTAAGAAATCTATTGATACCATTCCAACAACTTCTATTACCAATTTGGATACCTTACCACCAGACGAAATTACTTCTCTGGTTAGGATAGTACTTGAGGGTACTAAAAAAGACGTTTGTCCACGTCTTGAAGAACTTCGACAATTTCTTGCTAATATTTTATCCAATGGTTTAGATAAGTAAGTATAATATTAAGTACCAATTGTTTGATTTTGATTGTTTATTTTAAATTTAGTATCATTATCGTGTTTATAGAGTCATCCAGGGGAAACAAGTTCGATTTCATAGGAACCCATGTACCGATTCAACAGACAGTTCCTCAACAAATAATTCATCCTCTGAGGAATCCGTTTTTACAATATACGTTTACATTGTTAATGAAAATGGTAGATTCGATGCTGCCATGACTAAGATATTACCAAATTTTTATAAAACACCTGTTTCGAATTTTCCAATAATTGTAAGTTACACTCTATCTCAATAGTCAATAATTTTAATAATTAAAATTTCTTATAAAGGGTATTTTAATTTGTCCTATTTATCAGATACGAAGTTTTGCACTAGTACAGGAAAGAGATTCTAGCAACGCAATAGCTGTTGTTGTGGTTTCTTCAGTAGCATTCATCTGCCTACTCCTTCTTGCTGGCCTTCTGGTAAGAGATAAACACAGAGATAAAGTGAGATTTATTTGATATCCGCAAACAAAGAATAGAAAATTGGTATTCACGATACACCGAGTATACTACTCATTACCAAACACGATACGTTTCGATTCATAAAAATGCAGCTGCGTCGTAAGCTCATGAAAATCTTCCTCGTTTGTACACCTACTCGAAACTTACCTTTCTTGGTACATTACTCATAGGTAATACATTACGTCGGAATATCCGTGTCGAAAAATTAATTTTGTAATTATGTTTATCTGATATTTAGATGCCACATTACAAAGTAAAAAAGAAATATCATTTATTTTTTATGAATTTCAATCTCTAATAGTTATGAGACAATGCAATAATAAGTAATTAATATTATATATATATTTTCAAATAAAAATTAATAAATTATTTAAAAATAATTTGAAAAATTATCTGTAGATCATAATAATAGTTAATGTTTCTTCATATTGTTTTATTTTTTTCAAATTATTTAAGTTAATATTTATATTTTTTTAATAGTATACCCCCACCCCTCAATGAATGTACATTTACCTTCTTATCTTTATTTTCAATGTTATATGTTTCTTTTCGGTATATATTTGAAACGATAATACGATCGCTAAAACTTGCTAGTGGTTGCGATAAGTACGAGGCCATACTTAAGCTGCACGTATATCACCAATATATACATACATTTATTATCGATTTTTTAAGATTAAAAATGTGTTGTTCATTTTGGCAGTTTGTTATGAGAAAAAGACAAACGAGATTCAATTATGGGGAACGATGTCGACCTGTATCCTTGGATGCCTATAGTTTGGATAGTGTATCTGCTTATAATAGTGTTAGACGAAAAGGCGTTGCTAGATCATCGAAAAGAAGTTATGGTAATCCTGCTTTTGAAGATTCAGTATGTATATTTTATTATATGTGTTTAAATTTATAAAAATCAATATGTATTACATTATATATGTAATATAATATAATATTAATATATAAAATTTGCAGTGAAAATATTGCAATTATTTAATTACATATATATAAAAATTAAAACTTTATATAAATATAAATTTATAAAATTATAATTTTTTTTTGTTTTCTTACAGAGTGCAGTTCCATCTCACCCATTAAATTTCACCGGGCTTACTTCTTTTTCAAACGACGTCGATGCCATAAATGAAGAATTTTTAGGTATACCACAAGTTTCTTCTAAGATGGATGAGCTTCCTTCGGGCGCTGAAGTGAAAAATAGATACGCGAATGTGATTCCACTTCCAGAAAGTAGAGTACCATTGAAAAAACTCAACGATGATCCTCTTTCAGAATATATTAACGCCAGTTACGTTCGAGTTAGTTTATTTATTATTTTTATTTTGTTTATATAGTTGAATTGTATATATATATATAAATTTATAAATATTTTGTCAGGGTCCCAAAAATGCAATAAAATATTACATTGCATGTCAAGCACCTTTGGATACAACAGTTACTGATTTTTGGCGTATGATTTGGGAACAACAATCCAAAGTGATCATTATGCTGACTGATCTTGTAGAAAATGGAGTTGAAAAGTGTACCGAATATATACCACCGTCTGAAGTGACCGATTGTCATAGATTGTATGGTGATTTTCAAGTGACATTAAAGAAGCGAGAAACCAAAGAGAAATATGCAATATCAACGTTACATTTGAAAGTAAGAAATTTCATTCAAATTAAATTGAATTCATCTTAAACAAATGTGATTATAAAAGTGGTCTATGTTATTTTTTTTTCGTATTAAGATATTTTAAAATTTTCAACTTAGAATTCATTGAAAATAATATTTTTTTTTAATATGAAAAACATAAAATAAGTAACACTATATATTTTATTTCTTTTTAGGTAATTTTTTATTTAATTTTATATAGCTGTAAAAATAATATTGGAGAAAAAATGTTTTATTACGTATCTCAAATGACACTTATTATAAGACCAGTTTTATAATCATCAATTTATCATCGATGTATGACATTATACTAATAGTATTCGTCTCTTTTAAAGAATTTAGAGAATAATACGTTCAGAGAAGTATACCATATTTGGTACTTATGGCCAGCTAGTGGCGTTCAAACGGACGGTGCCGGACTTATCGCTGTACTTCTCGAAGCCAGAGCTCTTCAAAGAGGTGGTCCAGGGCCTATAGTGGTCCATTGTAGTCCTGGTACAGGTCGTACAGGAACACTGATAGCATTAGACCTGGGAATTAGACAGTATGAAATAACGCGAACGGTAGACGTACCAAGAGTGGTTTATACGATAAGAAGAGATAGAGCTGGGGCTGTGCAAACTAAAGAACAGTATACTTTTATATACAAGGTAAGTGTATACAAATATTTTTTTTTCTTAAATTAGAATAAGAAATTTGTATGATTAATTTGTATAATTTTCTTTTTGAAGGCATTAAATTTATATGCAACCAAACTTGCTGGAGGTATGCTGGAATCAACCTAAACCGACATCAATAAATTGTTTTCGGTTTAATTTGTAAGAAATTGGGGCGAGTGCTACAAAAAAAAAAATATTTAAGACTAATTTCATAATAATCTTTATCGTTGTTTTTTTTTTCTTTTTTATATAATTGAAAAAACAGACGGATAGAAAATTTTTTTTATTCCAGTTTAACTGGAATGAAAACAAAAGCAAAGAAAATATAAATATAGATTATTAACGAGTATTAATGTTTCGATCGGTAATTAATGATCGAATGAAAGGCTGAATAATACTTGTGATATGTGGACCATTCGTTGATATTCATTATAATAATGCATATTTATACATATATAAATGTATATATATATAGATATATACGTGATTTATCTATCGCGTTATATTTTTTATTACTTACGGCCGTTTCAATGAATACAACTTTTTATCTGCTTTGATAAAAATTACTGAAATCTCTCTTTGGTGAAAGTATTCAGTATTAAGGCATTATATTTTTATGCTTGAAAGCAAGATCGAAAAAGAAGACAAAAAGTTTTTTTTTTTTGGGCAAGTAGTATTTAAAAAAATACAATGCTACAAAAATTGACACAGTTAGCTTCAATTTGTTTTTGAAGAGATAAAATATAGAGGTGTATTTATAAGCTAGATATCAAAATTTATTTATTTTTTTTGTTCTCAGAATGATATCTTCACACTACTATTGTTTTTCTTGTGTGTATTAGATTTTTCATATTTTAAGAAGCAAGCTTATTGTGCAACCCTAGACGATGCGCTCTCTTTTTTTTCCAAATTAATTAAAACAGAGATTGCAAAGGCATTTCGAATTTATTGACGTCAATGTGAATATATTTTACCTTCTTTTTCTTTTTTTCGTTGTTATTATTGTTATTGTTATTGTTATCTGTGTTTAAAGTATATCCCAATTCGTAGCACATTGCTCTCTATAATTGTATATAAGTAATAAAGAAATGCAGAGGCACGTTGATTGAAATTTCTGACTTCATTTTTTTTTTTTAATCTAAACTTCTGTTGAAAAAAAAACTTATTGTTTACGACATGGTTCAGTTTTTTCAATTTATAACCGTAGATACGCTAGCCAGTACCTTTAACAACAGAAAAAAAATGAATAAATGCTCTTATTTGCACACTATATGCTCAACTTTATTTTATCAAATATTTTTTATACATCGTTAATTAGTTGAAAATAATTATTACACTTTGAATAATTATAAAATGGCGACTTCACGAGTGGGAGATATGTCATACGCATGCGCAAGCACACTTGGAAAAAAAATGTACTGGTATCTTTTAGTAGTCTCTTATGGTAAATTATTATTGTACTCGTCGGTAATTAATCACTTTTTTTATCAATTGGTAATTATCTTCTCCGTCGATAATATTTTCAAAAATACCAGTAGAGACTATAAAGTTTCATCACTTCACCACCAGATTGAGCAGTAATCTCATTTCCGTAAAAAACTATATATAGGTAAATCCTTTAAGTATATATATCACGAAGCCTACATATATAATAAATTTTCTATATAAATTCACACAACAATATATTAAACAAATCTTCCGCTCCTTCCATTTAATTAATCATTTTTCTCCATCTTCTCTTTACTCTTTAATCAAATGATCGATTAGTTGTTTATGAACATATTTAAAAGATATAACTATACAAGTTAGTCTGATGCGATCATATTATCCCCTTAAAATTTGAAAGATTAAAAAGGGTGGTTAAGAAAAAGTTGTAAAACTATCCTAAACAATTTTCTTTATGTTTATCTAGTTCGAGTATATAAGAATAACAAAATTTTACTATATGTTAATTCGTTGTTAATCTAAAAGAAATATTAAACATGAAGATAAATTTTAACAATGTCAAACATAATGATAAACAATTGTCAAAAATATTGTTAGGCACAATGACATTTGTCCATTTAAAATGTAGCTAAATTAGGGTTCAGATGTACAAACAGAAGACATAGGCGTTCCCATCATTCCAGACAACTTTGGTTTTAACTGGAGAGCTTTCATGGAAGAAAACGCCCGCTATCCAGGTGGTCTACCGGTTGTCTGGCTTGGACTGGCTCGAACTGGATCGTGGCTGTTAGATCTTGAGAGGTCCGGGCTCGTTCGATCTGCTGATCGCCAAGGAAATAAGCGTATTCGAGGAATAATTGTTTAAGCGTTAAGAGGTTAACCCAAGATATGTAGTACCTCATATATAGGCGTGGTTATTAACCAATTCTTATATATGCATTTTTATATATATATATGTGTCAGTATATCTTCCCTGTGTCATGAATTTACGTCATTTTAAAAACAAATATCAATTACAGTCATAGGAAAAACACAGATTTTAAATAATTTTATAAACACATAAATATATATGTAACTATACATATATGTTATTATTTTTATTATTATTATTAATGTAAAAAATTTCAATCACCGTACATATTCATAAAGTTTCAAAAACCTACTATTATACATATGTTTAATTAATCTAGATGAATATAGTAGTAGTGATTTATTATTTGTCTTTTAACATTACAAGGATTATAATATATTGCAGATCTGCAGAAAAAAAAACAGAATGAAAAGAAAACTAATGATAAAATAAGCGAATATTAAAAAAAAATAGAATACATAGATTATACAAAGTTAAATAGTAATCCGGATGAATATATTTTGCATAATTGATCCATTTGATAATTAAAAAAATAGATTTGGATTGTTTATTAATAATTCATAAGTTCGATTGAATCGATCAGATTCAAGAAAAAAAATTATGCATTATGTAAAACATAAATATGAGAGAATTTTATAAACATCTTTTGTATACATTTTTTTATTATGTTCTTTTCTTTTTTTTTTTTTTTTTCTAACAGGTTGAATACTCATTCGAAAGACACTGATAAATTACAACGAGTTAGGATAAAATTAAAGATTTATAAGACGTCTTTTTATTAATCACTGGATTCACTTGTAATATCATTTACTACGAAGAATATTATGTTTTATGATTTACTCTGGCATTTTATATCTGTTATTTTTGAAAATCGCATATTTCTCTCTTCCTATATCTTTCTCTCTCTCTCTCTTCGTCTTTCTTTCTCGTTCTTTTAATCTATGTTTTTAATTATTGTTGTGTGGACGAAACTAAATGTCCTGGAGGTAAAAACTGGTTAATTGTTTTTTTTTTCAACGTATCGTGTTCTTACAACTCATCGAGGAATGTAATAATTACATATACATATGTATATATTCATAAAAACGATACTTGTGTTCCTCATTTCAGTTTTTTTTCTCATCGCAGAGATAGACAGAACTGAAAAAATTCAAACAAGTGTAAATAAAAAAATACTGTGAATATTAGTTAAAAAAGTTAGGGAACATTTCGTTTTAAAAAGAAAATGAAGAAAATATTAATAACAGTAATAATAATTATAATAATAACAATAGTGTGATAATTTTCGATAAGGACACAAATTACAAAAGTAAACATTATAATATAGAAAATAAAATGAAGTTTCATTTGAATTAAAAACATATGCGATCGAAATTTTAATTTGTTTTCCAAGTGGATTCATACGTATTTAAAAGTATGTATAAGAAGGATTTTTGTTCTCTCATATATACGCAAAATTTCATTTATTTGTCTATCTTCGTAAATCGATTGATTTCGTGAAAATGATTTATCTTAGCAAGGTAAAATATTTGATAATGATGAACGATCCAAATGCGGTGATGAAATTCGAAGGCGCTCTTTATATAGAATCCCCTCAAAAAACACATAAAGAGAAAGAAATAAAGAGAGAGAGAGAGGAAGAGAGAAGCCGAAGCCATGTGTACTTACTTATATACATATGTATGTACGCTGATCGCGTTTAAGTGCAATCGTAAAACTGAAGAGTTTTAGATTGCTTGCCCGCACTTCCTGCCCTGATTCCGGTCACCTAAAGCAAAAGAGAGAGAGAGAGAGAGAGAAACATAGTATTCGATCCAAAGAACTCTTGTTCAAACGGAAGTTAAAATTGGCGCAGAAATTTTGATTTTGAATGAGCGATGTTGGTAAGGTAGGAATCTTCGCAGAAGTAATATTTCAAAAATGATATCAATTGACATGATTTATGTACATGTTTGTATATATATATACTTTATACATTTTCTTACATATATATATATATGTATATTCATATTTTACATGATACTGACATATGTTCATAAACCGAGGGCGTCTAACTATAGTTCCACGAACGCGAAATATTAATTTAGATTTCTGCGAGTTCTCTTCTCGATGGTATGCATGCATCATAAATGCTTTTCTTGGTAGATCACTCGGTATTTCTTTGAATTTTCATTCATATCACTTTCCACTATCTCTCTCCCTTCCTCTCTCACCCTAATTTTCTCACTTTTCAAAGACTATATTATTTATAGAATGAAATTCAATTTTCACAAGCCAAGAAACAAGGAAGGTCAAAGGGAATTCCATATTCGATTTTGTATATGTACTATATGTAAAGTGAGTCACAGGAATATTGTACCCATTGACATCATAAATCTTAAATAATCTATAGATGCATTCAATTCTACTGATTTAAGGAATTCAATTAGGTTTCCTTCGAAAATTATAAAAACGCGAACAATTATTACTCGTAGTTATACATTTTTATTTCTTTCTGTCCTTTAATAACAGATTTTATGTTAGTCATACTGTTCTATCAACTTAATTATTCACTTCTTGTGGATTCATACATATATATATTCCTTATTTCCTAAAACTGTGCATAATCAAATTCTTTTTATATGCTTTCCCAAAAATGCTTCATTATTTTTGGTAAGACCTAGGATTTCTACGATTTAACTAAAGCATACAATATAACGCTAGTATATGTATATACATAAATCGGTCTCTTGTGGGCGATACTTTATTCTTGTATACCTTTTACCATTCTCCAATAATTATGAAAATCTCAAGGGACTTTGCAATAAGATGAGTAGTGAAATATAAAGAGAAAAAATCGTATTTTATTAACTTCTCTCTCTATATATAATCTTAAAATAATACAATAATCTCATTTAATTGTATTCGTTCCGTTACCTTCAAAAATTATAATTATCGTTGTTAATCTATCATCGATGATGTATATAATCATCTTTATTATCGTTTCTTATTACTCGTATATCTTAACTAAAAGATTGTTTTTTTTTTTTTTTATGAAAAATAGAGACAGAGATAGATAGATAAAAAAAACATAGAAATGGAGATAAGAGAGAAAAAAATATATAGAGAGAGAGAGAAAGAGAGGAAAAAGGATTAGTAAATCATCAATAATAGGTAAATAGATGGATAACCAACAAGGATATAACTCTTTTATGTGAACAAACGTTTCCGAATGCTTATAATAATTATGTTTTTGCTTATTATCTTTGTCACGGGATAATAATTGACGGTCGTATCATCTTATCACACGTGATCTTTTTCCTATTCCCTCTCTCTCTCTTTTTCTTTTTCGCGTGCAAGTGAGTAATATTTATGTATATATGTACATGCACATTTTTAATTATATATAATTACCCTTGTCAACAATTTTATATAATTTAGAAGAATATAAAAATACTTCTATTATTACAAGGATAACGATCATTCAAAATCTGTATATATATATAGATAAAAATATTTCACATGTCCTATCGTATATGATACATATGTGAGTATGATACAAAAGAAAAAGAAATTGATTGTCAGAGAAGGAGAGAGAAGCTTAAAATAATTGTTATTAACGATGTTTTCCCTAATACTATAGGTAAAAAAATATAAGTAATAAAAAATAAATAATATATGCTACATATGTATTATTAGCATTTTCATTCTATAGTTTTATTTTTTCATTATTTTATTCTATGATTACTATTTTTCTAATTATTGAAATAATTAGAAAATGGTGTGCACCTATGATACATAAATGTATGATCTAAATTGATCCTAACTTTGTACACATAAGAAAGTTTTGACGATAAGATTTAAGACTTCTGAAAATAGGCTCGCGTACGTTCTCTCTCTCTCTTTCTCTCTCTCTGTGTTTCTTTCTCTTTCTCTAGTTGATCATCAATAATATCGATGCTTTATTTGTGCCATTCTCACGGCGAGAGTAAAAGCAAGACCGAGATACTGGAGACTTGAGTCGAGTTCTTACCGGAATATTTTGCTTTTCCGTTAAAGAATGCTAATTGAGCTAATTCCGTCTCTTGCTTCCACGCACGACCAACATAAATATTACCAATGATTTCACGAAATTTAAATGAGAAACGGAAAAGTTTCTTTTCAATTTCGATATTGTTTCCCGAAACTTCTTATAACTTTATTATTTTTATTTTCATTCTTTTATCTACCATCGGTTCAATCAATCGATAAATAAATCGAACAATTGATCGATGTTTGATCAATGAATCTATACTTTACTCTTCTACTTCTGATTAGATGATTTAATCTAATCATAACATATTAGTTGTCGCTTTTTTCTTTTATCATTTTCATTGTTTTTAATTTTATTTTATTCTATTTTCCGTAAAAATGTAATGCGACAAGATTAAGTAGAAAAAAATATCAATTTTAACATTGATAATATAAATCAATAACATCAAGATACATACATAGATGTGTCAGCGTTAAATTATATAATACAATTAAATCAGGGAAACCTTAGTTTTTTACTCCATATTATTTTAGGCACACATTTTTAGGAAAAATAATAAAAAGAATTTTATTTTATACAATAAAAAATATTATTATATATTTAAAAAGTAACGAGATATTCTAATATGAATTCATACGCGAGACGAGTAATTAAAGAATGAAATTGAAATTTGATCAGTCTTTAAAGTTTGCTATTCTTTTTGCAACAATGCTCGTTGTTATCCCTGCTTATATATCTTCCTGTAATTTGAATACCAATATTCGATTAGTCCTGCTGTGTTATCGGATCTAATCTATGGATTATATTGATTATTTTAAATTGACAGTGGGAGGAGTACAAATATTCCTGACAATGAGACTCGTTGTATATGTACTTTCTGTTTACATTCCAAATATTAGCGCTTTTTCGAATAATACTATTTGATTACATTTGATTTATTCTTTTCAATAAATATCCATACGATATGGTAGTCAGATTCTTTTCTGAATAAAAAGAAAGAATCGTCAAGGTCGTTCGACAAAATCTAGTTCGATGTCCCTCACCTAGTTTTATAAAGTATACAATCTCTCTCTCTCTCTCTCTCTCTCTCTTTCTTTCTTTCTCTCTTTCTCTTCTTCTTCTTCTTTTTCCTTTAAGAAAAAGTACAATTTTAAGCTATCTTATTTCAGATTATTGAATAAAATTCTTACGAATAGTAGTATGAAAACCTTCGGACTCAATTAACAATTCGAAATTCCGTCTATCTTTCTTTCTTTCTTCTTTAAATGGTAAAAATCGGTTACATAAACATCATAGTTAATTAAAATATGAATATATTATTAGGTTCGTGCATATGAATTGTCGGATTTTCTTTACATGTGCACGTTTGTCTCTTTGTTTTCGTTATTCTTTTGTTTTAGCTCATAACTTCATTTGTAGTTGTATTGTCTATTACCAGAATCATATTTCAACATAGAAGATTTTTTTAAAGGTTCAATTTTGTTATTTTTTTAAATTTTCTAAAGATATGAATTCAACCGATATTCGTGTAATTTTTTTATATCAGTATAAACTTGGTAATAATGATGCAAGAGCAGCACGCAATACAAACCAGGCATTTGGGGAGAATGCTGTTAACGAACAAACGTTGGTTTGAAAAATTTCGGTCTGATGAGTTTTCCCTACAAAATGAACCATGTAGAAGACCCAAAACATCTGTGAAAAAAATGCTCCAAAAGCATTGGTAGAAATGAATCCTACTGTATCTTCAAGGAAACTTGTTACCAGAATGAAAGTTGACCATACAACAATATTACGACATTTTACGGAAATTGACAAGATCGAAAACATGGATAAACAGGTACTAAGCGAAATAAGCTAGATCGGTGAAACGTATGTTCATCAATACTAATTCGATTTTTACAAATGAATTAAAGTGTGAAATTTTGCAACACCCAGCTTATTCACGAGATTTTTTGCCAACCGACTTTCATTTTTTTAAACATTTAGAATAGTTTTTACTAAATTCCATAGTTGAGAGAATTTATTAATTCTAATGATTAGAATTTCATTAAGACTAGCATCTATGCATTCAAATCTCGTTGGAAAAATTTATTTTAATGAAATAAACAGGTTTTAAAAAAAGATATGTTGATTTATATATTCACTTAAAAATCCAACATTTCATACGCATCAATCTAATACAAAACTTATCGATAAATGCAACAAGTTTTGTACGTACAAGATTAAAATAATAAAAAGGGAAAAAGAAAAGATGTAAATAACATGGTTGCATGCCGATTCTACATACAGGGTGTCTGAGGTTTTTTCGTACAAACGTTGTGAGCGTATTCTATGCTCAAAAATATGAATAAAATGTTATCATTTAAAGGCTTATTTAAAAATTATAACATAAATTATAAAATTATCTAAAAGTGGTGTCCGAAAATAATGTTTAGCGGTTTTGCATATGTTGTTTATTATCTTATGTTAGAATGATTCAGCGTATTTTCCTCTGAACAATAGCTTGGCTGTCTAGATTACCTGATCTCACCTCAATAGATTTTTATTTGTGGGGAAAACTAATACAAGAAGTTTATGCAACTGATTGCGAGATAGTTACATTTGATGTTATGGTAGAAGGAATTAAGAATGCAGTTACAGTAATTAATAGAAATCGATAAGAAATTCGCTGTCATGAGCAACGGTGCCAAACTTGTATTCGCATAAACGAGTAACATATTGAACAAGACATTTAAACGGTTTTACAATTTATTTCATAACTTTTGAATAAAGTTTTAAATGACCTATGTTTATATAACATTTTTTTCTTAATTTGAGTGTAGAATATGCTTACAAAGTTTATACGAAAAAATCTCAAACACCCTGTATATATTATGTACACAGAAAAAAAAAAGGAGGGTCGCGTACGTCGCATACATCGTATGAATTTGCAAAAGGGTGCGCGCATGCGCATGATCGAGAATGCGCGCGCCGCTTCATTTGGAGTGGGGGGAGAAGTAAACGCAGGGAAGTGGCGCGCCAACTTGTTTCGCGCGGGATTCAAGTTCGTGCGTTCGAACTCTGCGTGCAGTGTATTCGCTCTGTTAAACGTCTTTAGACATATCCTTTTTTTGTGCTCTCCATTTTCGTCATTCGTTAGTAGTAATCTTTTTTCGCTCTTCTTGTTTTATTTTAATTTCTTTTTCTTTTTTCAGCTTAATCGTGATGTACACGTGTATATAGTTTCAATCAGTTTATACGTATTATATGCATTTATCTTTTATCTATTTATTTTTTACACCATTGCACTTTCTGTTCTTACTTTCACCTTTAATCCTTTCGCATTTTTATTATATTCCTTTCCTTTTACTTCGCGAATAATTCTGACTATCTTTAAACATACATTTCCTGTTTTATAATAATTCGCATTTACTTGATATCGGTTGTGTGTGCGTTATATTGTGTTCTTCGAAAGTGTTATTACAACAAATCAAGTACCATCATCGAACTCATCTTTCAACAAATTTCTCATCTTATTCGGATACAAACACATACGCACATATAGGTTTATTTCCCATATAATAGTAAGTTTTGAATATGTCACTCAATGTTGGCGGAAACTATGAAAGATATTATTACCGTTCGTTTATTGCTATCGTTTGATAAAACGAAAGATAAAAGACATAAATTAATTTATTATTATTTTCTTTTAAATAAGAAATTAGTAAATATTCGAAGTTTTGTATAATATTATTTTCTGACTTTTCCAGGAAGTATATAGCTCTCATTTTTTTTTTTTTTATATTTGAAAAAATACGATCTGTATCTAATCTTAGACGTTCAGAAGTTACTATTGGCCGTACAGTTTTAGAGTCGTTAATATACGTATGTAAATATGTATGTGCGTAATGAAACATCAATGTTCTGTTTCATCTCTTTTTATTTTTTCTCTATTTTTCTTCCTTTCTTCTTTTTTTTTCTTTTTGGAGATCGATTCTTACAAACTCATAGTTTATTAATCTTTTACGTCATTTAAAATGCATTCCACGTATATTACGAACAATTTTTAAAATAATCTCCGTAAAATAGCAATCTGTGGTATTTAATTGATAATCTTCTTGCAAGAGAGATAAGATCGATAACATGAAAACAAAATTCGAAATCGTATTCGTTTTTCTCGGATTATAACAAACAGATTGTGTCAATTATATTGTTTATTTTGGACAAAGTTTTGGAAAGATTAGAGAAAGAAATTTTGATACAAAATCTAGATAGATTATACGAGTGGACAAAAAATATGATTAAAATTTGTTTATAATTTTTCATATCTGTATGTATGTGCGTGTGTGTGCGTGTGTGTGTGTGTGTGTGCGCGCGCGTGAATTTAGAATTCAAAAAAATTTGATTCGGCATTGAAAGAAGATGGTAAAATTTGTCAAGGAGCGATACAAAAAAGATCTCTAAAATCGTTTAACGAAAGCCAGAATTAAATTATAAACGAGTAGGCATACGAATTCGATGTCATTCATTAAACGTAACCATGAATCTTTAATTTGATTAATTAAAAAGATAGCATATGATACATTAAATCCATTTCACTTGTGTAAATGTGTATTCACAAACCAAAAATTTTTGATATTAAATTTACATTGACTTTTAATTGGTATTTTATTGGTAATTTTGAGTACTCTAAAAATAATTATAAAACGACATGGAATTTAGATTTTGATTTTCGGTTTTTCTATGACCCATTTATTTAATTTAAATGTAACTTTAATTCTCAGACTTCAATTTCCATGTTTTCTTTTGTCAACTTAAATAATTCACGTTTATATTAAGGATATAATCATTATTGCAAAAAAAAAAAAAAGAATTAACGTTTGTTATATCTGTCTCGTTTAATTGATAATATTATTGTTAAAAAAAACAGAAAACACAAATGTATTTGAATATATGCTTAGTTACTTATTGCGTTTGATATTGATTTCATTTTATTAATGCTACTAATATGATCTTATTGCTACTATTTTTAAATTGCACGCGTAATTATCGAATTTATGTTCGAAGAAAAACAGAATAACGAGGAAAAAATATTTAATCATGTTCGAAAAAAAAGAAGTAGTAAAAAATTAGGAAATATAGTAAAATAAATACGAATACATATTTCCTCTAAACGGTCAGTCGTTAAAAATAGATAATAGTAATAATTTACATACAAGTTTAATCTATTATACATTTAAAAAATATTAGATATTTATGTATATATGAAGCGTGTTGTGAAAGCGAGAAAATGGCTATTTTGAATAATTTTCAATCGTTTCTACTTCTTGTTTTTTCTCTTGAAATCAGAAGAAACAAAATGGAGAGCAGACTTCAAAATAAAAATGTCAAGGACGAGATGATTGGAGGAACACAGCAAAATGAAAATAATAAAAGATCTCCAATGACTTTAAATGTGAGCGGATTGTGGGATGTTGTTCCGCGTATGGACCATTACAGGTATTTACATAAATAAATTATTCATTGCAAAATTGTTTATCTATTATTAATATTATTAATTACTATTATAATTCATATCCAAATTATTAATATGTTTTTATTACTATCCATTTTATGGACTTGAGGAATCCGTTTTCTTTACAATTGTTTAAAAACAAGTCTTAAAATCTATCTACATTTTTACTATATTATAAATTAATAATATAATTATTATTATATATACAATATAAAAAGGATATAAATAAATAAATTATACATGTGACATTCGTCATATATATATATATAACTGCACAATTCATTTTATTATTCTTAACAGTAAATAATTTTTTCGCTTAATAAAACGTGCTCAAATTTAAATGATTTATGGGCGTACAACAACAAACAATTATCATTTATCTTAAATGATCCTACATCTTAATCGAGCCTAAGTGCTCGCGTGTTTCAATCTTTATATTAGCCTTATTGAACCTTCTCGATATATATTAATTGTCTTTTAATCAGAATAGAATAAAAGTGTATTCATATATACACTGAGAGATCCCAAGTAGACAACATATTTAATAAATCGAGAAAATAACATGATACCACAAATAGTAATTAAGTTAAACGTATATAAAATTAATTTGAAAGAGAGAGAGAGAGACAAAAAATAGATCTGATCTAATAGTCTTACGTGTATATCTTGTAATTATACTCTAAGAAAATTAAAGTAAGAAAATACTAATCTTAAAAAGATAAAAACAAAAAACACAAAGTAATTATATTTACGTAATACATATATATTATATATAAATAAAAATAATAAATGAAATTTATTGAAAATGATACTTATCAAAATATTAATATTAGTTATATAATTAAAATAATATAAAAATATAATATATTTATATATATATAATTAATATACATATTACAGATTAAGTCGTCGTGCGAAGAGGCCATCTTTGTGTACTTTGCACGAGGGAAATTTGATAAAGGTATGAGCACCATTATTTTTCTTATTCATCGACCATTATACTTTAATGATATTTTTATCGATTTAGCCGACCCCTATAAAGGAATAATAAGATAGGATAAGATTAGGTAGGGTTGGATAAGTATATTGAGTTTACGTAGCAATAAAGGATTGATCGGGATAGGTAAGATTGCTTGTTAGGATTAAATGCTCACAAAGAAATAATGTTGAACCCTTAACAAGTAGAAAATTTCCGCATTATGAGTAAGTCGTCACGCAATAAATGTTGCAATCGTTAAGGGTTGGTAATATATTCCCATTAAATTTGATCCTTATACTATACCTGTAAATCATCTTATTAAATCCTGTAATCCTTTTTCAGGATCCAAATGTTGAAGCAGGACAAATTGGGATAACATCACAAATTCATACTGGTGGAATTAAATTAGGATGGATCCAAGGTGTTTTAATACCATGCCTTTTAAATATATGGGGTGTTATGCTTTTCCTAAGACTCTCATGGGTTGTAGCACAAGCTGGAATATTACAGAGTACGATCATTATAGGAATATCAGCAGCGGTGTGTGTTATTACAACATTAAGCTTAAGTGCAATTAGCACTAATGGCGAAGTAAAGGGAGGTGTGTGTGTGTGTTGAGTTACAATTCGATTACTTCTAATTTTTTTTTTTTTCCTTTCATTCTTCCCGAAACAGGAGTGCCATTTATTTTATATATATATACGCTCAACTGGTTTTTTAAACGTTTAAATACCGTGTAAAAAACCGGAAAAAATATGTTTCCTATTTGAAAAAGAGGAATACGTTTTATATTATCCAAAAACTATATAAAATAAGATAAAGAACTAGATTTAATTTTAAAAATTGTGTAAAAAAAAATAATAAGAACTTAACTATATAAGTTTTGAGATATATAGTACAGCATTGTTTAACTTCTCTTATATTAGTCCGCGTGCCATTTTTTCTTTTGAAAATATTTCGAAAGCCAAAGAAAGGTAGATAATCAAAAAATCTTTTTTATTTTAAATACGTGAGTATACACATATTCTTTTTTTCTTTCTTTTTTAATAGGTAAAGTTATAGTATATCAATTTGCAATTTTACTTATTAAATTTTACCGTTTAATAATTTATATTACTACTTATATATTATTATTTTCTCAACACTTTTTCTTTTGAAATAGAAAACAATAAATGAAATGATAAATTTACAGGTGGCATATATTTTATCATCTCTCGATCACTCGGACCTGAGTTTGGTGCATCTGTTGGAATAGTCTTTGCATTTGCGAATGCAGTTGCAGCATCTATGAACACTATTGGTTTCTGTGATTCCATGAACGATTTACTCAAAGAATATAATCTTAAAATTATAGATAATGGAGTACAAGATGTTAGAATTATTGGTACTATTGCTCTTATAGTGATGATATTGATTTGTGCTATTGGCATGGAATGGGAATCAAAGGTTTGTTCGTTTATACATTCGTTTGTCTTTGCTTAACAATTGACATTACTTTTTTCTCAATTTTTAAATTAATTACTATTTGAGAATATATTTTAACATATTTTTTATATATTTATCAGGCCCAGAACTTTCTTATTGCAGTCATCATAGCAGCTATATTTGATTTTTTAATTGGTACTATCATTGGCCCTAAAAATGAAGAACAAATCTCTCAAGGATTCATTGGCTTTTCGTGTGAATATTTTATATTATTTATATACATGTATATATAGAGAGAGAGAGAGGGTGAGATAAAAGTTTTTATGTAGGTTAACAGTAACTAGGTGATTTTATAAATCAATTGCTTGTTGTTTGAGATTTTTCAAACTAAATTTTTTTTATTCAGATTATAAAACGACAAGTCAAACCACAAGTGCTAAAAAAATTTTAAAAAGAATAATTGATTTTTAAAATCACTTAGAATTCATTGGCCTTTTGAAAAACATTTGGCTCACCCTGTTTTATATATACTTGATTTATAATATTTTTGTCTTCGTGTGTAATGTATAAATTAATATTTTGTTTTTCTTCATTTTCCAGGGGAAGTATTTAAAAGCAACTGGGGCTCGGATTATCGATTTTCTGAGAACAACAATCAAACATTTTTTTCGGTTTTCGCAATATTTTTTCCTTCGGTAACTGGTATCCAAGCTGGTGCAAATATTTCGGGAGATTTGAAAAATCCAGGGAAAAGTATACCCATTGGAACGCTCTTAGCTCTCTTAATATCCATGATAAGTTATGTCACTTTTGTGTATTTTGCTGGTGGTGCAGCTTTGAGAGATGCAGGTATTGGATTGAATGGTACTGTTGAGTGTATATCTCAAAGTAATTGTTTATATGGACTTCATAATAGTTATACGGTAGGTTGTTAAATTAAAAATTCTAAACTAAAATAATGTTTGATTTATATATATCATGTGTATCATTAATCATTGTTTGTATAGGTCATGCAATTGATGTCACTTTGGGGACCGCTCATTTATGCTGGCTGTTTTGCTGCAACACTTTCAACGGCCTTAACTAATTTATTATCAGTTCCAAGATTGATCCAAGCATTAGGTCAAGATAGAATATACCCTGGATTAATATATTTTAGTAAAGGATATGGAAAATCTGGTGAGCCATACAGAGGATATGGACTTACGTTTCTTGTTGCGTTTGTATTTCTTATGATAGGTAAGTAATATCAGTTGACAATACTTTCCATGCGTATTATTATATAATAAAATAGTTATCTACTACTATCTAGCTATATATAATAGTTATGGATCTTATTACATATATATTAAATTACACAGATGAATTTGTTTTTAATAAATCATTTTTACTTTCAGCCAATCTTAATGCAGTTGCGCCATTAATATCAAATTTTTATCTAGCTTCTTATGCTCTTATTAATTTCTGCGCATTTCATGCTGCACTTATACGACCACTAGGTTGGCGACCTACTTTTAAGGTGCGTTTCTTTAATAAAAAAATTAGTTTACAAAAATTGAAGGTTTTTATTGAAAGATAAAGTATTTAATTAGTCTTAATGGATAATTATCTTTTATAGTATTACAACACTTGGTTATCTCTATTTGGCTTCATTGTTTGTGTAAGCATTATGTATCTCATCGACTGGATAACTTCATTAATAACATTTGTTATTATCTTTGCATTGTATCTGATAGTTGTATATCGTAAGCCAGATGTTAATTGGGGTAGCAGTACTCAAGCGCAAACTTATAAAACTGCATTATCTATTGTATATAGGTAAGTTCATATCTTTCAGTTACAAAAGTTCTCTTATTTTAAATTAGTCGAATAAATATTTTATATATACACAAAATATATTACATATGTATAATTATATATATACATATATATAAATTTGTAGATTGAATTCTATAGATGAACATGTGAAAAATTATGCTCCACAAATTTTGGCTCTTACTGGACATCCTGGTACGAGACCAGCTCTTTTATACTTGGCAAATCTTATCACAAAAAATAATTCCTTGTTAATCTCTGGGGAAATATGTCAAGTAGGTACTTTGTCATAGGATCTATAAGAGTCGAGTATGGATTAGTGATATTTGTAAAATAAATCACAATTAATTGATTCGCCATGACAGCTGCTATCAGAAAATAAGTACCAAAACATAGCATTCCATTGAAAAAAACAAACTTGACCTTTAAATCTCAGAAGCGACTAAACCTAGCAAAAAAAATTGACGTCATATTATAATCCCGAATTTTTCATGCTACTTTTGTTGTATAAACTTTTCTGCTACTATCATACTTCCGCAGCTATCTTGATGGCAATAGTTATTGAATCACCCTATATATTATAGATATATATAAAAAAGATTTATTATAAGCTGATATTTTTGGATTTAAAATATAAATCTTTTAAACATATTACATTTTTACAGACACGTTTGTCTTATCGATTACGATCAGTACATTTAAGAAATGGATATGCTTGGTTGCAAAGACATAGAATCAAATCTTTTTACCATGTTGTAGAAGATTTAAATTTAGAAAGAGGTGCATCAGCATTGATGCAAGCTACAGGAGTAGGAAAATTATCTCCAAATGTTGTCTTAATGGGTTACAAAACTCATTGGTCAACATGTAATCATAAAGATCTTCAAGAATACTTCAACGTACTTCAGTAATAAAATATCATCTTATGTTTCTTTTTCTATTTGTTATATATTTTTATTAACATTTTTTCACTCTTTCTTTCATTATTTCAGCAATGCATTCGATCACAAATTAGCTGTTACAATTCTACGTATTGAAGATGGTTTAGATTGTTCTGAAGTAACTTCTACTGTAGTAGACGAAGAGCATGGAACTCTAGCACAAAGTAGTTATGACTTAACTGGTTCTATGTTGATGCATGCTGATAGTGATCTCTCAATGAGTAGTCAAATACCAAGAGTACAAAGTGTACCAACTATAGGTATGTCGAATACATTAAATCATATCTTAATAAATACTATACATATATATACATTAAAAAAATTAATCATGAAAAATTATGACATATATATATTGTACTTTTATCATTTCTATAAATAGGAACACAATTTAATTCAGTTGAGGGACCAAATGTAATTAGAGAATCTCCTACTCATTGGAGTGCACGTGATCACATCAAGCAAAAGAAAAAACAAGCTACTGATAAATTACTTTCGTAAGTCTTGCATATTTTCTTTGATTAAAAAAGAAGTTCTGTATACCTACACATGATATATATATATATGTAGATGTAATAAAGTATGATTTTTCAATGATATTTTAGTGAAAAACGAAACGGAATGCCAGTGTTACCAGAACATATGACAATTTTCCAAAAAAAACATAAGAAAGGCATAATTGATGTATGGTGGCTTTACGATGATGGAGGTTTAACGATTCTTTTGCCATATATCATTAGTACTCGTACTAATTGGGAACATTGTAAAATGAGAATATTTGCTTTGGCTAATCACAAACAAGATATTGAGGCTCAAGAAAAGGAGTAAGATTTTTCAAATACTTGTATTAATCTGTTTCTTTTATATAAGTTTTTTACAAATTTTTTTGTTTATCTGCAGAATGGCAGAAATAATGGCTAAATTTCGAATAAAATATACTAGTTTAAAAATGGTAGATGACATCAGTATTTCTCCTCGACAAGATACTCAAGATTTCTTTGATAAACTTATATCTGATTTTCGAAGAAATGATCCTTCCGATAATTCAGGTTTGAACATTTATCATTATGATTAAATGATCGTCTTCGAAAGCATCAAAAGCATCAGTAAAAATTTTTTTTTTTAGAGTGCTGTGTCACTGATCTTGAATTACAAACACTGCGTGACAAAACTAATCGACAATTAAGACTTCGAGAATTACTTTTGGAAAATTCAAGTCAGTCGACATTGGTAGTAATGTATGTAATTATTCATAATGATCTTTATTTAATAATAACAATAATAATAAGAAAAAGAAAATGATATTTAACAAATAACTTACAGGTCATTACCAATGCCAAGAAAAGGTGCAGTATCAGCACCATTATATATGGCGTGGTTAGAAGCGTTAACTCGTGACATGCCACCAACGCTATTAATAAGAGGAAATCACACTTCGGTATTGACATTTTATTCGTAGTCTATAAATGATCAATTAGGTTATTAATATTAGTATTATTAATAGCTTAACTCGTATGATGTTTAGAAAAGAACTTTTTAGCTAACATCATATTTGACATAAATAGGCAGTATTTTTTAAGACATTAATGCCAAATCTCTCTTTCGACAATGTGTGTCTTACACATCTCTTTTTATCTCTTCTCTTTTTTATATATTACTATGTACTTATTATAATTATTATTATTATTATTATTATAATTTAGCTTCTACAAAAAGAAAAAGTGAACTTTGAAAGAAGATAAATTATACGAATGTACAATTTTTAAATAGATAATGAAATTATAAATTATATATTAAGTCATTAATCGACGACAATATCGATCATAAATAGTAGATAGAAATTTGCAGTACAATGCAATATTTGTACTTAATTGGCTTATCATAGTTGGAATTTAGAGTATCGTTAAAAATGTGTTATCAATGCATGTATTTCATGCACATATCGTTCTATAACAAATTTTTCTATTACTATTTATACAGTACTTATGTATGAATGGCCATTTGCACTTCTATAGTTCTTATATATATTGTACAAACTCTGAAAGTTTCGTATAAAAAAGGAAAAGAAAAGAAGAAAGAGATACTTTTATTATTCTCAATATTTTTAATATTATTATGAACATATAAGTAAGATTCTCTTTCCAAAAAATTTAGTTACCATTATACTGACTCCATTTTGTTCCACTCTAGAGTATAAAATGTACAGAATATTTTATTGACAGTCTTACTATTTATAACGCTTGCATATATAAGATATCAACAATGCTAAACTGCATGTTTAGAAAATAATGTAGTCTAATTTTTCATTATAAAATAATATCATTGTACTTATTAAGCATCTTTCAGTATACTACTTCTACAAATTTCATTTAAATACAATCTAATACTTTTAATTATCAATATGCAATCGACTTCTCCCATTGAATGACGAAGTTCTAAAACGAATATTAAGAAAATTCTAATAATATTATGTATACGTATATATACCCTCTCTTTTTGTTAAGAATTATAATAAAAAAAAAAATCCTTAAATAATTGTTTATATTAAGAAATATATATATATATATATATTACACCTTATAAAAAAATATAGTATTAATCTTAATTGTATATATAATTATAATAATAATATATAATAATATAAATATAGCTTTCTCGTTCAAACTTATGGAACTCACTTGTTGTTATGAGTTTCAAAAATTTTAGCAAAAGTACATTGTATTTGTTCCAGCATATCGCTCGCCAAAGTGGCCCTCTGTTTAATTTTATATGCTGCTGCATTACATTCTCTAATTAATCTTGATCCTGCGTAAGATGCTAATATCGCAGGTGACATAGAGGCTTCATTTGTTGCATTACAAATAGCCCACCACCAGAAAACAGCAATGGATCCAACTAAAAGATCTCCTTGACCACCGCATCGTCGTCCAGAACCAGACATGCAAGACCATACAATATCAGTTCCTTCTTGTCCACTTACTATAAGGTCTTTTGTTCCTTTACATAAAATAACTACTCTTTCTCCAAAACTATCTGCCAAATCTTTAACATCTGTAGATTTAACTACCGGAGAAGGTTCAATTGTTTTCTTTAATACAGATTTGACTAAACGAATAAATTCTACAGCATTAGGTGTAAGTATAAGATTTGGATAATTTATGACTACTTCAGGTTTTTGAGTTATCAAGTATAATCCATCTGCATCTATCACCAATGGTTTTTGCATTTCACGACAAATAGAAATTAATTCAACTATGACTCTGAAAGTTTTCTCGTCTCTTCCCAGTCCAGGCCCAATAACAATAACGTGTAAACAATCCAGCCAAGGTTTTATATGTTTGATAGCATCACTTTGATCCAAGATTCCATGTACGATTACATCTGGACTGAAAGATTTAATAGGAATGCTAGCTTCTTTTGCGCAGAATACATGTACCAGATCAGCACCGGTTCTAAGTGCACTCATTGCTGCGAAATAAGGTGCTCCAGTGTACTCTGCACTACCACCAAATATTCCTATTCTTCCATCTTGACCTTTATATTTAGTATTGTTTAAATTTGGTATGATCTTTCTTATTATTTTTAATATACGTTCGTCTGCAGATGCCCATGACGACATGGTTGATATACCAGTTAGATAAAAGAGTATTTCTGTAAACAAAATATGATATAGTAAAAGTTTTATTTTTAACGCTAATTATCTGAATAAGTTTTTATCCTTATATATATATATTAGCACATATTGAAAATATTACTTTCTCGTAACACTATTTTTATATTGCTTTTATGATTAACAATTTTTGTTATTGTATTTTATTTGTTTTAAAAAAACAATGTGTGAATATAATAATTACATATTTATATATATATTGGTATTGCGAGAAAAATATAAACCAAAAATTTTTCCATCGAAATATCTGTTTATAACGATTGTGTGAATATGCGTATAAATAAAAAACAAAAGGATTTTTGTATATTTCGTTGCTATCGAAAATATTTATAGGTAAGTCAAGTTGGTTAAATTTCATTTCCTAATTTTCTGTAAGAAAATATTACTTACAAGTAAAATAATTTTGTATAATTATTTCACAAAGAAGAAAAATGTTTCACATTGAAAAATTCGGTTACTTAGATAGAAATTTAATTCTTACTTTGCTCTTTATGTATATTTTTTGAAAATAACTGAATCATTGTTATCATCGAACTGTTTTTTCCTGATCTACGTACGATCGGGTAGAAAACTTATTTATAATGAGTGTTCAATATACAACTAAACGCGCGAAGTTTAAAAATTTTAATTATCTATAATTGCTAGGATGAAAATACGATTTAAATTAAATTTCGATTGAAATTATTTTGATGTAGATTTGTTTTAGTGCTAATGTATTAATTGACTACATATAATCTATTTCTCTATCCTAAGAGCAATATAAACAAAAGAAACCATTAATGCTAATGGTACCATCTGTTACTTTTAGATTAGATTTTATACTTACAATTAATATTCAGCCTTGCATCACGGTTCTCAGTCTTCAAGTAAAATTCATATAATATCCTTGTATTATTAATAATATTAATATAAAAATGTTTTTTCATAATGCTTCCAATTTAATTACTTCATTCTTGGATATACAATGGGGTCAACACTTAGGGGAAGAACTTGGACCGACAAATATCAATTCTGAGGTACATTCGTGTGTGTTCAAGTAATATATTAATCTATATATTATTATGTGATGACATAAAGGATTATGGATTCATAGTGGAAAGGAGTTAACACTACGAAGCATCACTTTCCATCCAAAATTTGGATAATAAGACCAACCTGGGAAACGACTCTTAAAATTCTCAGCATTTTACCTATCATTTTTGTGGGTATACTGGCTAATGGTGCACTGATCTATATAATAATCCGTGCTAAATCTTTACATACTACTACAAACCTTCTCATCGTTAACATGGCAATTGCAGATATATGCACATGCATTTTATGTCCTTGGATGTTTCTCTGTATTGATTTATATCAAAATTATATACTTGGACCTATAGGTTGTCGATTAGATGGATTTATAGTGCATGCTTTGACATTAGTCGCAGTATTTAATTTGAGCGTAGTTAGTTATGATCGCTTATCTGCTATTGTCTTAAACTGTTCTAGTAGATTAACAAAAAGGTTACTATTTTTAAATATATATTATATTGATAAGCATATTTTTGTTTTTAAATTATATATATATTATTACATGTAGATCTACACATTTGTTGCTTTATGCGATATGGATTTCTGGTATAGGAGTTGCAACACCATTATGTCTCTTTCGAAGCTATTATGAAAGACAATGGAGTGATTTTCTGGAAACTTATTGTACCGAGAATACTGTAGTGTTGTATCCATATTGGCATGTTTTTGCAGGTTTAACTGTATGGGCACCATTAACTATAATGGCAATATGTTATTCCTCTATTCTCATTAAGGTACTTTATCTGTTTTGTCTCTATCTATAGAAGGAGTATTATTATATTTTTGGTTTTAATTTTTAAGCTAGATAGATTTGAATCACAAGCATTAAGAAGTAAATATCCAATCATAGTACGTTATAAAGGAAAAGTGGCTCGTGCTTTAGGTATTATTGTTTTGGCATTTATTCTTTGTCGGGTACCATTCACAGTATTAATCATTCAAAGAGCACGACTCTTGCAACAACCTTCTAAACCAGGACAAGCAGAATCTATGTATTTTCTTTGGTAAGTACATTTATGTACAACTTTTATAAATAATTTTCATATAACTATAAACAAAGTAATAATTAATTAAAATAAAATAAATAAATTTTTGTTTAGGTATATAAGCAGATATCTTGTTCTCGTTAATGCTGCAATAAATCCTTTATTATATGGCTGCAGTAGTAGTTCTTTGAGAAAAGAATTAGCAATATGTCCTGCCACATCTTGGCTTATTTTTAAACGTAAAAAAAAAATGGAAAAGCAACATAGCAATCAACAGTGTAATTCAGAACCGTTTAATTGTTTGAAACCTCGATCACCTTGTATTCGAGTAAATTATTATCAAAGAAGTATAATACCAAATATTTCCTCAAGAGTTTCTCCAATAAATTTGGATATAAGTCCAAATTAAGATACTCTTATAATCTTGTATTATAATAATAGACTTATAAATCAGTTGATCATTAAGCATTTATATTATTTTTCTTTTATATTATAATAATCATGTATTATAATATTTAATAAAGTAATTAAAAACAGGCAGTTCAATGGATATCATAATTCAATTATAATTCAACAATCAAATGCATATAATAGGAATAATTGTAAAATACATTACTTAATTGGTACGTCCCTGAGAGAGTCTGCAATTATTTTTCCACCATTCGACGTAACCAACAAATTTCCATTCCATGATGCTTCTCCATTTCCATTTACAATGAGATCAACCTATTAAAAATAGAAATATTTCATCAAAATCATATATTTCCTAAGAAATTTATGATTCTACCTTTCAAGTTACAAATACCTGCAACTTTTCCCAAACTTTTTTCTTTGGATTTAAAACGTCATCCGGTGTTCCACTTTCATAACCCTCTATGAAAATTCTATCACCAGGATTACTATTTTCTGGTGGTCTCAAAGGTTCAACTTGCTTTGTTGGCGCATCTCTGAATAAATAGTCAATAATTAATTCAAAATAAGAAAGATTTTTTTATAAAGTATAAAAATATAGAAATAATATCTTACGCAGATGCACAAAGAACCATTCCATGAGATTGTATACCTCTGAGATTAGCCGCTTTAAGATTTGCAAGTACAAGTACCATTCTTTCTTGCATTTCCTCTATAGGAACATAATTTACAAGACCACTGACAATAGTTCTAGGACCGTTATTTTCACCTAAATCTATTTTCTCCACATATAATGAATCGGCATCGGGATGTTTTTTCACATCAACGATCTTTCCAACTCTAATATCCAATCTCGACGGTACTATTTCATCTACCACCTCTATGCATAAACAATAGCAAAAATTTGTTAATAGAAACATATTTAAAAATATAATACTATATGGTCGACTTCAAAGAACTCACTTACTTTGTTTCTGTGGTGGATATGCTTTACTGACAAGAGATTTTAATTTAGGACATGTATCAAATTCTTTTCTAATCGGATCTAAGAGCCTATTTATATATATCTCGGCTGCATTTTTAAGATCACCAGGATGTATTTCTTCCTTTGCGAATGCAGTTTCTAATTCCTCGTATGTAGAAAAAGATATATCTCCACCTATATCAACGTTTGACAATTTTAATACTATAATCTGTTTATTAATACATGCGGTAATAATGTTTTAACAAACATTTACATTTTATACATACCAAAATCTTTGCTTCTCGGTACATTATAAGATTCCCCTTTTTTTAATAAACTAAATATCACATGCTTAGAAAAAGTAAGTATTCCATTATCATTGATATTGCCAGGTTCGCAGAATGCTTTTTTCAACTTCTTTTTAACTGTTGAAGCTCCATCCAGAAGATCAATTTTTGAGTCTTCTTCAGAGGAAGACATTTTAGCACCAGCTAGCCCAGGTACTAAAAGTGAATTTCAAAATATACTTTCTTTTACAAACATTATAAGAATCTACTTTTTTAATAAATTCATTATATACTAACTCATAGGATTCATTAAATGAATACGTTTATCATATCCAAGCATTGGTAAATATTTTTCAGCGAAGGTGAATATCTTTCTTTGATCTATTCCACCAAATTGAGCATCGATATGAAGGTACTCTTCATCCAATGCTTGCAGTCCTGGATATAGCAAACCAGAAAGTAATGGATTTGCAACTTGTTTGACAACTTCTGCACCTGCCTTTTTGGCATCGTGTTCGGTTACAATAGAACTTAATCGATACATATCCAAAGTATATTCCCTAAAAAAATATAATATAAAAATTGTACTTGCATAATAATAAATCTCACACAAATATACAATATATTTTTCTAGTACTAACTTGGATAATTGATAATCCGTTCCTTTAACAAATTTAAGTTTGTCCAAAGGCACGCCAATAGATTTAAGCATAGCTTTGATAATAACTTCATAATATGATGTTCTTAATTCTAAAAGTTCCCAAGGTGCTTTCATATTATCTAAATAAGCATGTAAGTCAGCGAATAAAATAGTAACTTCAGCTCCAGCATTTAAAAAATCAGCTATCTTTAACATTGGTGTAAAGTATCCAATATGAGGTTTGCCGGTAGTAGCAGTACCCCAATAAATTTTAAGATCTCGTTGTTTCAAAATACTTTTTAATTTTTCATCGCCAAGCCATTCTCCTAGATTTCTTGTTATGAGATTATATTTCTCGTTCCAAGTTAGTTCATCCATTTTAGTTATATTCTACATAGAATAAAAACATGTAAATAATTTAGTTAATAAATTAGAAAATCTTAATACCTCAAAGTACTGATGCATGTAATGAGTAAAACTGAGAAAGTATTACATCATATAATGACTACTATTTAATTCATCCAGAAATGGTGTTAAGATGAAACTAGGCTAGACGTAATAGTGTGAGACAAATGCTTCAGGGATTTTCTATGTTTAATAAGGGCTCCATCAGACCTTCAAAGCACCGATTTTTTCGAAATGGTATAAAATTGTAGAACCATACATTACACATAAGCAGTACGACCTAATATTCATTCGTTTCCAAAAAAATGAAGGGGGAAGATTTATATAATTTGTTATATATTAAAAATAAACGACGATGGATTGATAAACCACGTGTAACCGGTAAAGCACGTGTAGTTGCTTGTCAAATATTTAACAGGTCTAAAATTATAATTAAATTGACAATATTATAAATACAAATAAGTAGATATTCTATATTTTTACTAATTAATCAATACTCATCTAACCTACAAACCTATGTATTCTTACCCGTTAGATTATTAACTTCACAGAAAAAGAAATTAAAAAACTCGACACAACATATGTGTGCGACTTAAAGAACCGATTACGCATTACCCCCACTTTTTTTCATTTTCCTATTCATCCCCTTCCTATACGAGCTACTGTCGAACGTTTGTTGCTGTGGTTTTGCATTGGTTATGCCTGACAAGAATATCTCGAACAAAAGATATATCTACTTATTCTATTTTTTAAATAAATAACAATGTAAAATATTTATAAAATAAGCCTATTCAAATAGAAATAATTGAATTGAAAATTTGTATATTTTGATAAATTCGATATGAATTCAGAGTCATCTAGTTGCAAATTATATAAGTATGCGGAATCATAATTTTTAAATGCACTTTTTTAAAAACAAGAATAGAATAATTTGTTTTTAAATCAAAATAATCGATTGATAAGTAGTTTTATTTGTTTATATAGGTATAATTTGTTATCCACACGCGATAATGAACTTTTGACAAAATTTGTAGCGATATTGAGAAAGGAATGATTCAAATAGGAAAAGAAAAAAAAATCGACAGGATGTGAGGATTTCGAGATAAATCAAACGAACCGATTCGTTTAAAAGTGAGCGTCCTAGATTCATAGGCTATATCGTAATATTTCCACCTTCCTTCGACACTACTTCTTGAAAGAGTACCGAAAAGAAAGGAAGTCAATGTTTGCCATTTGGTTTTCTTTGGAAGACATCTCAGTGCGTATCCACAGCCACTTTCATTGTTCTTTTATCTGTCTTGGCTTCAACAAGACATTTAACTTCATTCTAACTATCGCTGACTTCTTACCGTCTGCTTCAAATATATCTCGAATTTTTTTATTTGCGTTACCAAAAGAGAGCAAGAAAAAGACGGAGAGATTTTTTCATTGGTGATTTTAAAGAGAAAGTTAATCTGGGAGATTCGATAGAGTAAGTATACTATTTCTATATAATTTTTAAGATAAGTATTTGAAGAAATAAAAAATAAAAAACAGTGAATTGAATTTCTAGAAATATCATAGTAATGTTTTATATTGTAATGCAACATAGTTATAATTTTTGGATGTAATCACATTTTTATTTTTTAATTGAGAAATAGAAAATTCTTTCAATTTCGAAAATTTTGAATATTATCAGATATAATTATCGAACCGCGTAAGTATTAGTAACAATTGACAATGAGATTTCACTTTGATTGGCGTAAGATCTTTTAAATTCTCGTATTCTAACGAAACAGATAAATTACTTATTTGCATATTCATGAATAGAGTCTTTTACCAATCGAATGCAATCTTTTGATTTCTAAATGGCGCCAATACGAAAGTCGACCGAGAATGACCGAAGGTAGCCGAACATATTTAAATAAAAACACGTGACTATTTAGTTATTTTTTCAAATTATTATACGAAGAAAATAAAAAGAATAAGGATAATGACTAGGTAAATAAATAATTTTCGAGGTCTTTCCACACAAATGAAAAGACAAACATCTCTCGAAATCGTTTCCTAGTTTCACCGACTCTCGCTGAAATAGACGGAAGGAAGACGAATTCATGCTCTGTTTAAGAAGTACGGGTTCACCGAGTTTCTACACAGGATATTATATAGATGTATATGTTCAGATATGCCGAGATAGTTTTAGGACTCGGAAATATTTATTTTTTGTCTCTTTACAGTTTTTTTTTTTAGACTTTACAGTCTCTTTATTATTTGTTTCATCGATTAAAAATTGTCTTTCTTTAGTTGTCTTTTTAATTAACAAATTTTTGTTTTCTCACAAATATCTATTTTGACTCTTCAATTAAAAAATTTCTCTTTTTTTTTTTTTTTACAAATATTTATTATTTTATGAATACTTTTAACTAATTTATTAGTTTATACAATAGGGGGAGGGGTACAAAATACAATTTTTATCATAATACATAATTATTGAAGTTTACCTCAAAAATTCTTTAATCCTTTAAGTTAACAAAAAAATGATCTTTTTTAAATGAATTCATTAGGTTATGCCATCATACACAATCAAACCTTGGACATTGTCGTTGTTAACGTTAATATTCATTACGTTCGATTGGACAAGTTCGGAAAGTGGTACAACAATTGGAAACAGAGATGGTTGTGGTGATAGATTGGAACGTGCTTTGGATGCACTTCAAAGAGATTCGAATAGACGAAGAAATAGACTACAAGAAGAAGGAGAAGGTCGTGAACCAAATTACCAAGAAGAATTACAATCCGCACCATTGGCAATGACGATTTCACGAATTGCAGTAAAGGTATATGATTTTTATTAAAAGATTATAAATAATAATATTATGTATTTTATTTTATATTATAAGACCAAAGGGCAAATACAAATTATTTATTGTTATAATTTATTTGCTTAATATATATTTTAATTTATAATATTTATATTATATATAATAATAATAATAAACACGCGTAATTATATTAGTTTCCACAGAATGCAAGAAGTCGAGCAAGTTCATGGGCAAGAGTTGAAACATGTTATTTTGAGCCTTCGAGTAATTCATTAAAAACCAGAGTAACATTCAATGATTTATCTATATCAGGAACAGTGTCATTATTGATGAGAGAAGAACGGCGATCTCATATACCTTTGGAATCATGTAGAATGACTTTACGATTGAGACAAGCTGGTATCGATATTTTCACTGGTACAATTGCCAGAGCTCGTGGACAAATGCGTATACGTACAGAATCAAGCTTTTTAGAGCCAAGATTTGCTTCACTTTACGCTTATGGATGTCATCCCAATCGTCATGAGAAAGAGCTTAAAAGACAGGACAAGTGGCCACCTTATTATCCTCCTCGTGATGACGTAATTAAATATTATAAATGATGCTTAATTAAAAAATTAAATGTATTTTATATAAGATAGGTCTTAAAAGTTGCTAACTAGGTTGTATTAATCAATTACTTTTGAATCTAATTTTGATTTTTGCAAATTGTAAAACTAAAAATTAAAGTAATTAGAAAACTAAAAAATCCTATAAAAAGATAATTAATTTTATTTTCTAGCTTCCTGTACTATTGGCTGAGCCACGTCGCTTATTCACCGTATCCGAAGACGCAGATTTATTAATAGCAAACGAAAGTCGAGTTGCACGTACTTCAAGTACACCAATAAGAAACTTAGGTACCTGGAGAAATAATTTTTGGATAACTAAATCAGCAGTAGTACGTCGAAGGAGAGGAATTAAGAAACGTAATACGAACGATGTAACAATGATGGTGACTATGAAGAAAGATAAAAAAGATCATTTTCCCGAAGATCATCAAGGATCTAAATCAATGGAAATCGAGATAACACCGGGTGATTTTGTAACTGCATTGGTCAATGATAAAAAACTTTCCCAAGCTAAAAAGGAATCAATGATGGTCAATGAATCAACTGCAGAAACAATGACGACTACTATTAATCTTCTAGATCGTTCTGTAAATTTGTTAAAAAACGATAGTGTCGATGATGATTGTCAAGAAAAAAAATCTAATTTCAAAAGGGAATACAATTTTCATGAATCACCAACAAGAATTGAATCTAGAGAGACTCTTTTGTTGGATGAAAATCTTTATGATATATTTATTCCTAATTTTAATGATAATGATGATGATAACGTTAGTAATAACGATGAGGATCAAGGTAATAATCGAAGTTGGCAATCGAAAGAAAATATTGCTAGAGAAATGGAAGATATTTTTCTTCGTGGTGCTAGTAAAACATTGACAAGTTACATCGAACGACAATTACATCCTGCTATCAAGGAAGCTCTTATGATTTCTATGGGATATACCATTAGTTATGGATAGATTATAGATAGATTAATAGATCAAATTAGGGATGTATAATTAATTAATATTATTAGTAACAAATGCATTATTATTTTTGTCTTGGAAATTCAGATACTTTATATCTATGTTGTATTTATTTATTTATTGAATATAAAATAAGAGTTAGGCTTATGAAATATCTTATTTATTAATTAAAAACGGAGTAGATTACAATTATCATCATTATTTTTTATTTGTTTCTTGTTAAATTATATATAGTAAATAAATAAAATATATAGAATATAGTATAATATATGTTGTATTATAATTAAGTAAAAACAATATATATTTGCTAATTATAAAAAGTACATGAATGTGTTCTTCAATCCATAATGGAATTACTTTCACTAAAAAAAAAAAACATTAATTCAAAAATATATATAATTTTCAAAACAAAAATTCTCTCTCTCTCTATATCAAATATAATTCGTAATATTTTATATGGATCACCACTCTATACTGTAAATTGAAATATAAAGTGCGCATGCGAACAAGTTGATTGACTAATTTCGTTCGTAACTATTTCAACGAAAAGCGCATGTCAAACAAATTCTTTATCTATTTATCAATCTAAATCGATTATTTTAAAAAGATGACACTCTGCATTTTGTTTTATATATATATATACGGATATGTTTGAGAACATTCGTAATAATAATAAGCGAAAAGTGTTACGACTAGTTTACGGTCATCAACGATCTATTCTTTAGGTCCACAATGTAATTAAGAAACACCATTACTGTGTTGTATACCGTAAAGATAGGAAAACAGAACTCATTGTTAGAAAACCAAGACAAATATTTAATCGAAAAATAGAAAGAACTATAGCTTCTAGGTATGTAAATTACTTTAATATTTAAGAAAATTAAATTTAAAACCAATTAAATATCGAACATGAACGATATAATATTTATTTTTAGATAAATACATTTTTATTATTTTTTTTATTAAGAGATTATTACAATAAGAAAAACATATTGAACATGAGTGATAATATAACATCGAAACCAAGAAATTTCTTCAGAAGAGGAAAAGTTGAAGATGCATTTCGTTTATCTAATCAAATTCGAAAAAGAACATCGATTAAACGAAGTAGTCAAGCTAATATCGATTCTCGTCGTCGTAATTTGATCAGGTAAAAATAAGAAAAATAAAACAATAGTTAAATAAATTGTAAAAATATCGATGGTTTTATTCGATTTCTTTTTTTCTAAATAATCCTTTTATTATTTTTTTTTTTTTTTCGAATTTTAAGGACACGTTATTATTTCACCAGTGGTCATGAACATTTAGGAGAAGCTAGAAACGTTAATACTGAACAATCACCATTCGAATTTCCATCATGTTCTCATATGTTTCCTTATTTTCAATTTTGGAAGGCTCAAAGACGTAAAACTATTGAAGCTCGACGTATAGCAAGTTATAAAAAATATGAGAGTACTTTACATACGCACAATGATATTTTTAAAAGATTGCGAGTGAGTTATCATTAATGTTATTAACATTTTAGCTATAATATACTTAAGAGTAGAAGACCATTTAGAAAACCGAAAATGTTCTCCTTCGAAAATTTTTTGTTCAAATAAGCATTGTCTGACCTTATTAAAACTTCGTAATTTTTTTACTATTATTGATATCTACATTAAAATTTTTCAAATTCTTATAATTAAAGTAATATTAATTAATATTTAACATATAGGTGGACGTGGCGGCGGAAAAAGAAGAAAAAAAGAAACACAAAGAATTAAAAGATGCATTTGCGATAACTGATGTTAATCCGGAATACTTCATCGAAACTACTGAACGTTTAGTAAAAGAAAAATTTTCTCTTCGTCAATACATCAATGATCTTCGAGAAATTTTAAGAACCAAATTACTTGTCGGTGAACAACGTGATCTTTGTATTCATATAGAACAACAATTCGATGAGGAAATAAGAAGATTAAATAAAATCAAAGTAAAAAATTAAAAAAATAATATGAATTATCTATTACAATTTTCATTAAATTTTATATAAATTCATCAAAATTAAGAAAATAAAAAAGTAATACAAAACTACATTTTTTTTTAAGCGCCAATATCGCACATACGTTAATGGTTTTGAAGATTTTTTATCAAAGGATCACGAAAAAAGTATGATTATTTTAGAAGAAGCCGAAAAAGAATTGAAATTGACTTTGACGATAAATGAAAAGAGAACTTCTTTGATGAAGGAATATGGTCAGATTAGATTAGACTTGTATTATTGGGAAGAACGTTGGAGATTGGCAAAAACATGTCAAAAGTTTCTATTTCAAATTTCACCAATATCATGGAGAAACGAATATGATTGGATTTATCGTTCACAATCAAGAGAAAGTATATTTTCTGCAACTACTGATGACATTTTTGGACGTTTTAAGATAGCCGAAGAAACAGCGTCTCTTGATTGTTTATTAAGTATTTAATATATTTAAATATATATTTATATTTTCCACCTAAAGAATTTTTAAAAATTCTAATGTCGAAATATTTAATCAGTGTTTACCTTTTTATATTTAATATAAATTTCCTTAGTAATTCAGCTTAATTTTACTGAATAACAAAAATGTTTACGATATATATAGATGATATAATACTGTATATTATTTTATCTATTTTCCCTACTTTATGATTTTGTAGATACAATTAATTTGACAAATAAGCAACTTATATAATATATAATTTATTATTGTTCATAGGAATGTTCGAAGAAGATTTAATGGGAGCAGGTCCTACTAAACTTTATTTCGAGGATCCTTTCGATCTGTTACATGTATTTGAAGCAATAGAGACACAAAATTTAAATGCTTTGATACATTTGGAATCATTGGTAGCACCTATAGGTGAAATGTTATTAACGATTACAGAAGCTGAAGATCGAATGAAACATGAGTTTGATGAGATTACTGCTAGTATTGAAGAATTGGAAGTAGGTATATAACGAAAAACAATAGATGATGATGAAAGTAGTGCCTTCCATTTTATTTCTTCAATTCTTTTTTTGGCATATGGTGAGTAACAAGAGTATTCATACTTGCTCTTACTGTAAATTTTAAATAATCGATATTTGTTTGTAATGTAAAGCTTCAAAATTCTATTCAAAAGAAACCTATTTTAAAATTATTAAACTTTCATATAAATTTTATATTATATTTATACAAGAGTATTTTTATACCTACTTAGGATATAATAAAAATACAATTATTTTTTTCTGTAAATAGTACTTGGTTGACCCTTCTTTCCATCTTATAATACTTTTGAAACGATTAAACATATTTTGTGAAACCAATTTTCTAATCATTTAAGTGAAATTATATTTCTCTAAAATTATCTTAAATTGACAGTATGGGTACGAATACTCCTCTGATACTTACTGTTTATTTAATATATGCTATTAATAATACGTATATATACAGTATTTATATTTATATTTATTATGCGAGAGATAATAAAATTGTACAAAATATGTTGAAAGAAAATGACGAAATAATGGAATGGAAACCTCTACCATCATGATTGAATCATCATGATTGTTTCTAATCACACATGCGTTTCATTCATTGAATGATAGTATCAACAAATAAATCATGATTCTTTTTCTAATATCTTTTAATCTAGGATTCGATTCATAAAACAGAGGAGAGAGCAACGAATTTGCAAGAATACGCTAATTACCTTTTGCAAGGTGTATTTCGTGATTTGGTATGTTCGGAAGATGTTCTTTGTGTGTATGTCTTAATCGAAGACGCATATGAAACTTGCATAGCACCTAACGATGCTAAACTCAATAGTTTCACTATGATGAAGCTGATAGAAAAAACTCATGAGGAACTCAATTTAGAATTAGATACGTTACCTCATAAAGTAGTTAGAAAATGTGAGAGAGAGGGTTTCAAACAAGAATCTAAAGCTATCAAAGAAGCTGAAGATGCTGCTAGAAAGGTTACAATCTTTTTAATATATATTTTACATTGTATAATATTATCTTCTTCTCTCTATTCTGTAAATAAACCTAATCATCCGGTTTTCTTTCTTTTTTATTCTAGTTCGAACTAATGCATCAATTATTAGATGCATTAACCCGTATCATGCAGATGCCTATAATAAGTAAACGACAATTAAAATGGCGTTCTACACCAATTTATGAGAAAATGGAAAAGGTAGCTTCTTATGTCGAACCAACGGAAGAAGAAATGCAATATTTAACTTTCTTTACAAATTATTGTAAACATGAAGACTTTACAAAATATCAATCTAAATTTCCCGATGATTTTGATCTAACATTTCAGACCAAAGAAAAACAAATTTATAAAGAAACCTCAGAAGTGATAATCAATGAAACTATAGAATAATGTTGATAAAAATTTAACGAATATAAAGTGCATGTGTATTTTTTGTAATCTATTTACTACTATGAGATTATTTAAATCATCTATACTGAAAAACATTCATCAGACATTTCTCATTCCACGTATGCATAATGTTTTTTCTTGTGAAAAGTTTGCTTGAATTGAAAAGAAAAATAATAAAATCCGTTCAATTCATGGATAAATTACGAGATTTACATCGATCTACACAATTTCTTTTACGTAATAAATCACAATGTGTTTACACACATAATAAGTAATAAATCACACCCTTTTATCACTGTTAAACTAGATTACCTACTGTCCACTTTCATCACTTTGTTAAACTAACATCTAACCTAAATGTACTTACATATTTATTATTGATTTTACCTTTGTAACGATTTCTATAAAATTAACATTTTCTTTGAGGATTACTCGATCGTTTTTAAATACGATGTGACAATTTGCGATTTATCTCCACAGTGATATTAAAACGAAAAATATGATAATGTATTGACAACTAGCAATGTTTACAAATCTTTCTTATATAGACTTCAAATCTGATAATAAATAATGTCGTTTTTTAAAGGTTATGTTGTCTAGATTTTAATGAAACGTTTTTACAAACGTATGAAATAAAAAAAAACAATTATTACTACATTATATATGTACGTGTATGTTTGCTTACGTTTACTCGTACAGTAAAGAGGGCGTCTGCTAAGATAATCTGTCAGAGTTAACAAATGTGTGCTGCGAAAAAAGTAGTAGGGAGTTTGAAGATTCGTGGAATTTTGTGATATGCTACTACGTATTTAAAATAATTCCTTATGTTTTATATTTAATTTTTGATAAATAATTCTTTCCTTTTTATCCCTTAAGTTTAATTCATTCCAAGGAGTAAAAAACATAAGTTAACAGTATTTTCATTTATTTTTTCTTACGTTTTTTCATATGCATACGCGTGAAATGTGATACATCAAATGTTAATGGTTTGCTAAGATCAAAAAACTAATTATAATAACACTCTTAGAAACAGTTATCTTTTAATGTGTGAATTGAAGCATAGTTAAATTATTCGATATCTTATTAATAATCATGGATAAATTAAGAAGAGCTTTGAGCGGTAAAGAGGAGTGCGATGAGGAAAGTGGTATCATTGCACAGGTAATGATATAAACTTGTTTGTTTCATTAATAAATATTAATTTTAAGAATATACTTCCTATTTTATATATATAAATATATATACAATTATTTACATGATAATAAAATATTTATTTTATTACTTGCTTACAATTTCTAACTAAAGGCTGATGTTAATTTCGTGGTGAGTAGGTCTTGTCAAAAGATTAATATCATCATGATGTGAAAACTTATGTTATTATTCCCATATAAGCTTAGAATATAAAATAATATTAATTATTTAATTTTTGTAGGTTATGGATCAAACAACACTGAGTTGGTCGACACGCATAAAAGGTTTCGCTATTTGTTTTGTCATAGGCATTCTTTGTTCTTTTCTTGGATCATTTGCCTTATTTTTAAGAAGAGGACTCACAATATTTGCGATATTTTACACATTAGGAAATATCATTTCACTAGCAAGGTAGCGATTATTCTATGTTAGATTAGAAATACATATATAATTTTTATTTTTTTAAATATCATAGCACAGCTTGCGTTGCAACAAAATATTGCTATGTGTTTTTGTTTAAAAACATTCTGCTTTAATTCATCTATCTCTTGGAAATATTATCACAGTCTTCTTTAATAGATAATTTTCTTTGTAGTACTTGTTTTTTGATGGGTCCTGTAAATCAATTAAAAAAAATGTTTGCTGCGACAAGAATTATTGCTACTATTTTAGTATTCGTATCAATTGGTATGACATTATTTGCAGCTTTACACGTAAGTAGCATATATATATGATATTCAATTATTGGAATGATTATATAACCAAATTTTTCTTATGTTTTAGTTAAACAATCCTGGTTTGGCTCTTATATTTATCATTATTCAATCTATAGCAATGACTTGGTATTCCTTATCATATATACCATATGCACGAGATGCTGTAAAGAAAACTGTTGAATCTTGTATAACGTAAACATATATCGCTTGGAAAGAAAAAAGAAATATTGAATACCATTGTATTAATCATATTTATAAAAATCTAAAACTTTTGTACATATTCTTTGAGTGTATCATGTTTGATATATTTTTAAAAATCAGAATGCTGTTATATAAGGTATTATAAATATATTGATGAAGTGCGCACACATTTATCTACGTGACAATTTAATACAAATTTATATATATAACGTGTTTCTCTCTCTCTCACGATTATAAGATAATAATGTTCGATATATTTAAAAATATTTTTCTATTCTTATAATGTGTAAATTATATCCACATTTATCTCAACAATATAATTTTAATATAACAAACTTTTTTTACAGAATTATTCTCTCTTGGACATGAAAATATATAGTCTATAAAAATACATTGAAAATTTTTCGAGTGATTTCAAGATCAAATCTCTCTATTATTTACGTATATTAAATATTTAATTTGTTTAAATTGCAGTATTAATTTATTACTATGAAGTTAAACAAGGGAAAAAAATATCAATTAAAATTGAAACGACGTTTCCCATCAAATCGGAAACCATAAGCGGCACTATTAGGTGCATCTACTAAAGCTGGATTTCTGTAAAGATGAAAAGTTCCATGAAGGTGTGCTGGTCTCGCAGCATTTTGTTCTTCAGCTTCTTTTCCTTTTAAATAAAATGCTTCAAATTGACCACCAGATAATAAGATATTTTTTAAAGATTTATCGTCTGGATCATAGGCAAATGCTTGGATCGTCAGACAACTGAAAAACCAAATGATCTATGAGGTTTGTATTATCAATAAATGTTATATTGATTAAGAATTAAAACGTGAAAATTAAAGAAAATATACTAACTATCAACTTCATAACTTCAGGTCCTTTGTTAAACTCGTTCCAAAAATATTGCAGAGAGAATAAAATTATATATATTCTTGTTTATAATATTTAAATGTTCTGCAATGATAATTTTATTACCTTAATAATATATTGTAGCAAAAAAATAATTATTTTTTATAATCAAATGAATTTTAACACAATCGTGTATTAATAATTAATTATAGATCATTAGTGTCTCTTTATAAAATACTTACATACGTTCGTTTAATATTTGTAACGAGATGTGTTAACGATCGAACGAACTGCCATAGTAAAAGTGAAAGTCGTGTCCTCGATTATTGTATACGGATAACAACGTCGAAAAACGTTTCTATTCGTATTTATATATTTTCACTCTATAAGTATTTGTTTTCCATAATATTTTCACAATATAAGTATTCGGTTTAAACAAAAGTATACTTTTTTTTTTTATGATTTTGATAAAACACTTTCTTTTGAATAAGGTAAGAATTAATTCATTATAACAATAAAATATATTAATTTAAGCTAAAGATATAAAAAAAGCATGATTTTATATATTGAGTATATTTTGAAGAATATAGTTAAAAAAAAAAGATTAATGTAAAATTAAAATTTATAAACAGGAGAGGAGTTAAAATTACAAACAAATTATTAGGTATTAACACAACTTTGTTGTATATTGAAGTTAATTGTTCTAAATACTTATGTGTAATAGATACAATTTACACCGTCTCATAATTATTGCGAAGGTGTTACAAATTAGTAGTAGTAGTAGTATGGTCAACAAAAAATAAGATAAATCTATGCATAAACTCATCAAGTCAAATTACTATTTATTTATTTTAGAGAACAGCCACACATTTTTTTATTGTGAACAATAAATTTTCGTCAATTACCGCATTAGAAAGAATGTAAAATATAAAGTATACATATAACATTCGAAACAACACATTGTTACAATAAAATTTATTTTTTAATAAATGAGAAAAAGAAAGAGAAAGAAAACAAAAATAGAAAAGAACAAAAGAAAAAACATGAAAAAATAGAAAGGAAAGAAAAATATTAATTTTTTTCAATCTTTTTTTTTTTATATAAACCAGAGGCACAAGATTAAAATGAGATGATGACACCAAGAGGGCAAACTTAAAGTTTGCTTTTTTCCTAATATATATAATATAAACCAACGCATTCTCGCGAATTACATAAACAGATAAGCCAATGTTGAAGCCTAAGGCAACAACACTTCTCAATCTCTCTCTGAACACGTCTATAGCGCCCAGATACATACTATCTATTACTGAACCAAACCATCTGTTGCTATTTTTGTCTATCCTTTGTATACTTATCTTCTCAAAATTCTACTATTATCACTATTATTTTAAGCGTGACACCTTCATTGGATTATCTAACATAAAGCGGTAAAATATTGCTTCCTAAAATCTTAGAAAAAACGTCTGATTAGAATATTGTACCTATACCTCTTTCTCTCTTCTCGGTACTCTGTGTTATATAGTTTTTTTTACTATTATTATTTATTTATGTTTTTTTTTTTATTGAAATATATATGTGTATATAATAAGGTATCCCACGAAGTATCAACAAGTGTGATAGTGACTGATACAGATAATTTAAGATGATAAGGTATTATTATATATTGATGAATGTGGAATTGCCTTATATAGTGGCATGAGTGGTTTGTCGATTAAAAACCATGGACTTTGAGTTGGTCAGGTTTGGCCAGACCTGACTTTGTTAACCACTGGCATATATTTTCTCGCTGGTCCCCCTGCAGCTGCAGCACCTCCCCGTACTCTGGGTGTTCAATTACTGTCCCATTGCAGGCAAACTCCTACAAAATAAGATTATATCCACATATTTTTATCTTTTTATTTTCTCCTCATAATTTTATCAATTTCGTTCTTTCATGATTCATCGAGTTTCATCAAGCGAGTATTAATTAGTATGCAAGTGTTGTAAGTATTATAAAGAGAACGTATATATTTTTAACCTACTATTCATTTTAAAATTAAAAAAAGAAAAAGAAATCTAAAATTTTGTATTTCATTATTTATATTATATAAGATTATTCTTTATCTGTTTATTTATATATATGACTTGCAAAAATTAATGTAATAGTATTTCACGAATCACCTTAAATAATAACTGTACAAATATCAATATTAAAAAATCAAACTATCATCAGAGAAGAATCAGAATACAGAATAACTATAAAATTAATTGAAACCAACATTTATTCATACCTAAATATCAGCCACACATCTGCATTTAAAAATTATTAGTACAAATACCTTCTATGCATAATATCAATATGTTAAATAAAAATTGAAAGTCCTTTTATAAATTAAAAGTTATACGATAAAAATAAAATTAATTTACGTTCTTACTGGCAGCTGTCAGTTTCCAAGGTTTATTTGCATTCTATTAATAGCGTGTTGCAAAAGTTAAAAAGAGAACGACTTCATAAAGATAAATACCAAACAAATAGGTGGATTAAATAATATTTACCTTTTTACATGCTCGAACTATTTTTCTCAAGTCATATTCAGAAGAAAGCCCCTGTACCGTTGTTAAGGTCTTACGACCATTTCTCTGTTGTATCCTTATATGCACGAGACCGTCTTGGACATCATCATCTGAACCCTTGATTGCATCTGCAAAGGGGTCTAGAAAAAAAATATATATATGTATATGTATATATAAACGTAAATATATACATTACATTATAGTTTATCAATCTTGACAGATAAAATCTCTTCAAATAAAGATCATTTTTGTTATCTCGTATCAAAATGGTGTACACACAGTTGTGATTTTATATATACACGTATATATGCATAAATGTATACACACATATACATATACATCTTTTTGCCTGAAATTACTTAAGGAATTTTTACAATTCTTTTTTCTTATCTCCTTTTAAAGTTCAACGATAAAATAACAAAGAGAAAAAGAAAAAATAAATAAATAAATGAAAAGATAATAAAAAAAAAAGAGGAAGATAGAAAATGAAGGTATGAAAATACTTCATGAAAATGGACACGATTGCACACTATGATGCAAAGACGCTATCATCGCCATTTTGTCGTATCTATCTTGTCGAACCAGCAAGGTACATAGAAATATTTGTAGTATGAAAAATGTTATATTTACCGAATGTGTTGAGATTCTGGATGGACATACGACAAACAAAATATATCCCTCGGAGATATAGAACTGCAAATTGCAAGTGCAGTTGAAGAAAATGACGGATGACGTAGGATAACTGTGACACTGCGCAAGGATACTGCTTAAAGCCCAAAAACATTCTACGGAGGAGCCTGAATCAAACCGGAAGTTAGTTCCATTTGTCATGGAACCCCGATGGGTGGGGTTGCGCCTGCGTTCTTCTATTCACCCAGCATTTGCCGCATGATCAAAGAAACTCTTTGCCTGATTGGTCCAACATAATTTGACATACTTAGAACTATGTTTCTTTCAAAATATTACTTTCATAACTTTGTTTTTTTCTTTTTCTCTCTTTGTCTCTTTCTCTTTCTCTTTCTCTTTCTCTTTCTCTTTTTCGAACAAATTTTTATAACATTTATTTAAATACTTAGAATTTTTTTTAGCTTATGAAACATAAAAAATAAATTAAATATCGGATTCGGGTACTTTTTCATTGGAAACGATGCATAATAGATTAGGAATTTGGATTAACTTATTTGTGTTTTGTTCTTTTTTTAATAATTTAGGAATAGACAATTAACAAATTTTATTTGAATTAGATCTGTTATCGTTTCTAATGATTTTATTCGAAATATATTAGGGAATCCATAAAAATTCAAAGTAATTGACGCTAATTAATATTAATGCAAATGTTTATAACATTAAAAAGAGAATCTATATTTTTTCTTATTCTTAATACGATAATATAGGACAATTAACATATAGACTTTTAGATTTATAAAATTTGTAACATTTAGTCATCATTAACCAAATTTTAATTATTTAATTTAATATTGCTTATTCAAAAATTTAAATATAGACATGAAATCATAATAATATCATACATGTATATAATATCAATTACATTTATTGTTAAATAGTTAAATAATACTTTACTACATTAATAAGATTATTATGCACGTTTCTTTTTTACGACGATTTTTGTATATTGCGCATGCGTGTAATTAGACATGAATATTCTAAAATATTTAAAGCCACTTGTTAACAAAAATATTTACGTGTAATAGAAGTTTATCAATAAATTTCTTTGTATCTTTTATTTAAAATATTTTATTTAATATGTTAGTATTGTGTGTGTGTTTTTAATGTTTTTATAGTGTAATATAATTCTTCAAATATGCTGTCTAATATAAATCTAGGAATAGGTTAATCAATCAATAGCTGCTTAGGTCTTGTAAACTATAAATATTGTATTGAAATAATACATATTTTTATTATAAGTTATATTGATATATTTCAATATGAGAAATATTTTAAAGTTCTATCAAAGCTTATTGATTAAGTATCCAATAAGAACTCAGGCAGCACAAGCTGGTAATATTATATTAAGTTTATTTTTTCTATTGTTTTTTCTATAATGTTATCTTGTCTTTTTTTTCTTTTATTTTTACTTTTACTTCTTTTGTAAATAATCGTTAAGTTTTCTTAACAACTCAGGTATATTAATGGGACTAGGCGATCAATTAGCACAAAATTTAATAGAAAGAAGAAAATTCAAAGATTTAGATTTTATTAGAACTGGTCATTTCGCTGTTATAGGATTTTTTCTGGCTGTAAGTGAAATTAAATTATTACTTTAATAAATATTATAATTTATAATGATTGTAACACAAGTGATGTGTATAAGTATAGAATAAAGTTGTTAATATATTTTTTTATATATTTTGTTTTATCAGGGTCCAGCGACTAGAACATGGTATGGTATATTAGATAAATATATTGGTTCCAAAGGAGGAACCGTTGTTGTAAAAAAAGTTTTATGTGATCAACTACTTTTTGCTCCTACTTTCTTATGTGTTTTACTTGTTTCTATCGGATTCTTACAAGGGAGTGACATTGATAGTTTAAAGCATAAACTAAAAAGTAGTTACTTTCAAATATTAATAAATAATTATAAGGTAACAAATATTTCTTTTTTAAATTGTTATGATATATTCCAAAAATGTTCTATTATTTAAAAATTATTTATCGTAATATATTATATAAAAATAAAGTTTCTAATATTTATTTTTTATTGTTTTAGATTTGGCCTATGGTACAGTTAATCAATTTTTATTTTATCCCATTACAGTATCAAGTATTACTTGTACAATCGGTTGCATTATTATGGAATACATATATTTCTTATATATCCAATTTAGAATAAGATTGGTAGAAAATAATAAATTTGAAAGGTACGCTTCTAAATTTTAAAATTAACACATATTTGGATTATTTTATAAAAAAAATAATAAATCTAATATTTTTATGCGATGAAATTAATATCTTAAAAATAATACGAGAAACAAAGCATTACATAAATTTGATATATAGTGTTAAAAATGACTATGCTTTTATGATTACCTGTACGCATCAATAAAGATATTATACATCTATATTATTCATGTAATATATTATGTAATATACACATGTTCAAAGATATTTGTTATATTTTTGTAAATATATACAAAATCATGATCAATAAAAATATTAATTACTTCAATGCAAAAATATACTAAAATAAGACCTTGTGTATATATATATATCTTCAATTATTATATTAGTTATTATTAATGCTCTCCCTTTTACAAGTTTGAGAAACTTTTTTATGCGACTTCTCAAAACAGTCCACCACCATTCCATAGAAGTCATATTAGCGGCTTTCTAAAGTCAACAGCACACTGTGTTCCGAAGCAGTTATCCATTCAAGTACTAACCATAACTATTATTGCTTAAATTTAACGATCATACAGAATTAACTTTTTCAATGAGTCGAGGTCGTTGAAAAAATTTAAATTATAATTATAATTTTCTATAAACTTTTTTTTTTAAATATTAAATAATATCAATTTAGATTGACATAACTTTCATAAGTCAAGTTATATATAAAAATCCTGAAAGTATTTTATTTATAATAATTTTTCTAAATACTAGTTTCTTTTTTCATTTTGGTAAACAAGTTCTGAAAATAGAAACGCTAGATAAAATATTTTGTATAACATCTTGATTTAATTTTCACAAAAAGATATTACAAGTGTTTACAAGTATCAATGATTATGTTAACTGTTCGATATACATATAAAAGAGAAACCCAAAAAAAGGAAAAAAAAAAAAATAAAATAAAAATATAATATGCAATCAATGTAATTTGCAAAAATTTTAAAAACGTAAATGTTGAAAATGTATTTAGACATACAAATCTATATATATCCAATCTAGCCACCAATATATTTACAACTAATAGTATACATAAAAAATATGTGAATAATATCATATCAATAAAATCAAATAAAAAGATTATTTTTTTTTGTTCTTTTTTTTTGTCAACTATAAATATACCGTGACTTTAAGCCTGTGGCTGTATTTTTTTTTTATTATGTATAGCAAAATTTTCAAACCAGTACATGTTGTACTATTAAAAAAGTAAGTTCTTCAAAGAACCTTCAAAGCATATAAATCTGTTAGTTTTATTTTTTATTTTTTAAATATATGTATATATGTGAAATATGACAGATGGAACTTATTAATCAAAAGCTACACAAAAATTTCCTTCTGCAAAAATGTTTCAATATCTACTCGGCAAATAGGACAACGTTTGTTGGTGCACAACCATTGGTCGACACAATCTATGTGGAATAAATGCAAACATGGAAGCCTCCTGCAAAAAGTAAAGAAAAAATAATATATACTTCTATAAAATTGACACAAAATATTTCAATATGTTGGAGATATAAAATTAAACAAAATTTACCTCACACTTTCACAATCTTCAAATTCTGATAAGCATATTGTACATTTTTCAACAGCATCTTCACTGTTTTCGACTTTTTTCACCTACAAATGGAGAAAAACAATGTCATTTGCTAATTTCATTTATATTAATTATATATATGTTACCGGCAAAGTTCGAAATCCAGTATTCTATAGAATGTCGGCTTTTCGTACATCGCCGGTAACATATACAAAACAACTTCATTTTTCTACCCGTTTGTATTTATGTGGGAATGTATGACTTTCAATAGATTCTTGCGTGGCACCATAATTCATGTGACCCATACGCCGTAGATCAACAATTCGCATATAATCTTCAAGTCGTGCAGGCATGTGTCTTGGTTGATGTAGTATTAAATCTGGTAAGCCTGTCGTAGGTGGTAACGTATTTCCACGTGTTATAGATGTGGCCTATATATAAGTATAATAGTATAAAATTAAAAATAAAATGAATATAAAATATTAATAACAAATGTTGTTTGTTAGGGACAATATAAATCTGAAGATTTACCACATTTGGAGAGAAACTAATATGAAGATGATGCAAACGCGAAGGCATTATATGAAGATGATGCATACGAGGAGGCATTTGTTGTGGATGTGTACTATAATGATACATATGATGATGAACATGATGTTGATGAACTGGTATCGATGTCATTAATTCCGGAGAAGGTTCCACTTCATTAACTTCATTTAAATGATTCACCTATAAAATATGGTATATATCAATTTATAAGTATTATCATATTATTATAATTAATGATTAATATCGTGATAATTTACCATCATAGCTGGTGTACAAGCCGGAGCAAAAGTTGGTGCTCCTCTTGCTTCTGGATGACTGTAAACAGTGGGTTGTTGTGGTGATGGTAAGAGTCTAGATGGTAATCGTGGAGGTAGAAGAGAAGTTGAGATATAATTTTCAACAAATGGAGCAGCATCATTTTCTTCGCATTGATTATTTTGATGGATATGAGGATAAGCATAATAATTTTCATAAGCACATGCGTGCGTTGTGGCTTGGTTCATATGCGCACTCGGTGGCACAGGATTGCTATTTAAGAGAGAAAAATTATTTATATTATTATTAATTGAATCCGAAAATAAATGCTTATAGAAAATTTTTAAGGAAATAAAACTAACGTATGATACGAAGAAGATCTTGGATAAAGTCTTCTTCTGTGAACTTCTTGTACGCGTTGTTGATTCATCCATAATCTTTCTTGTACAGGATGCATACGAGAAGATGTAGTGCCTGTTGTTGTATCTACAAATAAAAATATATTTATATATAATTTTACAAATTAAATATGTAAAAGAGAGTATAGAATTTTTACCTCCCAGTATATTAAATCTTGAATGCATCGATGGGGTTCGATGACGATAATGCATAAATCCATGGTGATACATTCTATGATTTGCAGCAGGATCACATAAGTATGCAAATAAAAAATATTTCAGTTACAACATTGAAGTAATCTGATTTCGATACATAAAAGTAGGAATATATGTTCAACATTTTTTTCTAAATATTTCAACATTTTTATATAAAGACAACAAAGACATTACTATAATATTATATAAATGTTACAATTTGCCTTTGAGTGTGCTCGTCTAATCCTGAATTTATTGGGTTATTAAATGACGTAGATGTAGATGGTGCTTCTTCATCAGATTCTGCAGTTAAATCAACAAGAGTGACTGTACGATTTTCTTCGCTATCATTTTGTACAGAACTCTAAAAATCATAATTATAATGATGTATGAAAATGTTATAAGAAAAATTGATACTTTTTTTACTTACTTCATTGTGATTTACTGTTCCAAGAACTTCTATAGATCCATCTTCCTCGTCACTATCACTACTAGATGACCAGTCTAATTGTAAATCCGGCGCTGATGGTGCATCATCGATTCCTTTTTTTTTTTTTTTTGACAAAATGTTTAATTTAGTTTAAATAAAAGATCACATGCGTTATAGTATCTCATAACATGCACATTAATGAAATTTCATTGATTAATAATGCTATTTGATGAAGTACTAACTTGATGAATGAGCAGTATTTCCAGTATGTGCCTCTTGAGAATTTATTACAGTAGATAAATTAGGATAACACAAATTATTTGACTCATTGGCATTTCTATTTCCAACAATCTGTTGAATGGCTTCATTAAGAGCGCCACTAAGACGATCTTGCGGTGGTATGGAACTATAAAATAATAATATATATTATTTTAAACATTAAAAATCGAAGCCATTAATAGTATCAATCTATCTATCTACATCATACCTGTTAGAATTGTAACAATCTAATATTCTAGATGGTCCAGCTATATTAAAGTTATCTACTTGTTGATCATTTTTATGCTTTTGCTCGTCACTCTTATTTTTCTTATGTTTTGTAGGCTCATCATGATCATGTAAAACTCTTTTATGTCTATCTTCTCTTGTATTATTTAATTGCAGCGTAACAGATTCTTTTTTAAGAGTTCTTTCTTGTCTGTTTTGGCACATATCACAATTTAAAGTATCAGTTTGCCAATAATCATTGGAATTATCATTTGTATTAGGGGAAGTAATATAAGGTCCAAACATAAAGTCATTTTGTGAATTAATATGCGTTGTATCATTGTATGATTCTGTAGGTGCTACCTCTGATTCTTCGATGTCACTTTCTGCAAATAAATGTTCATAATCCATCTCATTTCCTAAAAAGATAAAAATGATAAAACTTTACTGCCTCAAGAAAAAAGAAGGAAAAAAAATAAAATGAATGATTTGTTTTGCCAATTTTATCATTTTTACCAGAAGTAAAACGAGATTGCGGAGATGGATCAACTGTAGATGAAAATGCTGTATCAAATATATCAGCTAAAGATGTAGAATTAGCTTCTACAGATCCGGTCGTTGATTCACCATTAAATAAATCAGTTTGCTGTTCCTCTGTTTTACTTTTATGCCATAAATTTCCTGAATTTGAACTAGCTTCCATTCTATAAAATAAGAAAAATACTTATATATAATAGCGTAATAAAATTGTATAATTTATAGTTAAATTATTATAAAACGTACTTTGTAATTGTTTAAATGAAAAAGTCTGCTTTTTTAATTCATCTCCTTAATTTATAACTTTCATTCATAAAACACCAAACGTTACGCTTTAAGTACATGCGTATATCACATTTTTTTAATACATATTTAATTATGACTAGATTAAGATTAATTAATTATATTAAATTTGATTATAACCTGTCCATGCGTGTATTGAATCATTTCTATTTTATAATCAATTTGAAAAACTGCAGAAAAAATATTACATTATGAGTATCAAAAATATAAATATTTTCTTTTTTTCACGTAAAAACAATTTTATTGTAATTTTTATTAGATAATGAAATAATTGCTATCAATTGAGGAAAATGAAACATGCTGCGTAATTATATTATTCAAATACATAAAAAAAAAATAACCATACAAAAAAATCTTGTGATAATAATTATTTTGTTTTCGATATTTTTAACAATATAATACTTTTATATTAATTATTATTATTTTTATATAAAAAACAAAGCTTTAACATCACAGTAATTATTTCAAAAATTATATGAATAATAATCAGAAAAATAATTTAATGTGAAAACAAAAAGTAAAAAATATACCTTGCTAAGCCTTTGGTAAAACGTGAAGAGTAACTTTCACCACGCCATTTTCATCAAATATAATTTAGTTACTACAAATTGTATACTTCTTTTATACCACTAAGCATTGAATTTGTTCACTTCTATATAGTTTGGTATATATGTATAAGATATATACACATATAGATATTATATATATATATATGTATATCTAAATTTCAAGATCTACATTTAGAATTTAAGAAAAATAAATGTACAGAAGAGTTTCACGTGTCTATAATAACATTAAAAACTAAATGAACTTATGTAGATGGTTTCTTTGGTAATATACATACATTTGGGAACAATGATATCATCAAATGTAACTTTTAACATAGACGTGACATATAACACACAACACACACACAGCACATCTTGCGTCTTATGAAATTTCTTACTTTAAATCTGAATTACCGACGCAGTACTCAAATGTGGTGTGATAACGAATGTAGCGTGTAGATAGCGCGGATACTCTCTTAAATGCAGGGACGTGATGTGATTGGCATATATATAAACAAGTACTAGACATTTCCTTACAGATTCGTTTAAGAATGGAGAGAGATAAATAAATTTATTCAAATATTAACATACAAATAATATTTATTATAATAATAAATTTAGCACATAATAATATGCAATAAGTGTTTTTTCTATTGGCAACACATAAGTATTCGTAGACTATATGAAAGAACTAGATTTCTTAGACTGTCTAGGAATTATTCTTATATAGATGCTTAACATTAACTTTGGTTGTATATTACTTCTACTATCTCGTGATGGCGTTGCGATCACATTGTTATACTGGGTCGCAACACTTTATATTTATTAAACCCACGAAGCCTATATACAAACTTCGTTACTGAACTATAGTAATGCTTGTGTGTGTGATTCTAAAAAGAAAAATTTCTTAAGTATAAGTAAATATAATATATATGTACCGTGAAAGACCAAAATTGGATAATGTAAAGATTCACATAGTGAATATCAACACATACCAAATACGTCGGTGAAAGACCGAATATTTGGGTATATTCTTATACATCCGGACCATTACCGATGTATGTTGACAAACACAGATATGCTTTGGTGGAGGTTGAAACAAGCACGCAGCATCTGTTTGTTATACTCTGGAACATTGTTATTTGTCAATCTTATGCAAGGTTTGCTGGTAGGTGCAACGTTTATTGAAATTTTATTTTTTTACCCGATACCCTAATTTATATTGAATGGATACTGCAGTGAACCGTGATCTTTTTTTTGAAAAGTTACATGCATTAATTGCAAGTAAACGAGAAGACAATTGTTTTTATTTTTCTCAAGAAAAGTATTCTAAAATACTTTCTGAAGTGATTTCTGCTAAAACTAAGTGCAGCACACCTTTGGATTATAGACGATTAAAACGTTTTGACGTTATAAAAATTAACAGTAAAAAGAAATTAATTGTACCATTAAAATTAGGAGAAACAAATATACAGTATTATGTTACCAATGATGAATTGTTTAGTATACTATCTGAAACTCACACCAGAACTGGCCATGGAGGAAGAACACGTATGCTTAAAGAATTGCAAGTTAAATACAAAAATATTACATATGAAGTTGTAATGTTGTATTTAAATTTATGTAAACAATGTCAGATGAAACAAAGCACACCTAAAAAAGGTATTGTTGCGAAACCAATAATCAGTTCGGAATTAAATTCAAGATGTCAAGTCGATCTGATAGACCTGCAGTCACACAAGGATGGCGAATATAAGTTCATAATGGTATATCAAGATAATTTAACGAAGTTTGTCCAGCTACGACCTTTGAAAACTAAAATAGCTAAAGAAGTAGCATATCATCTTCTTCAAATATTTTTAACATTCGGTGCCCCAGCTATATTGCAATCAGATAATGGTAGGGAGTTCTGTAATCAAGTTATATCCGAACTATGCGCTATGTGGAAAGATGTTAAGATAGTTCATGGAAAGTCTTGTTATAGTCAAACACAAGGCTCAACTGAAAGGACCAATCAGGATATACAGAATATGTTAACTGCATGGATGAACGATAATGACACAAATAAATGGTCAGATGGTTTGTCTTTTGTTCAGTTTACCAAGAACACTACATACCACGAAGGAATACGTCAAAGTCCATATGAAGCCATGTTTGGTGTTAAACCAAAAAGAGGCATAGCATCGTCATCTTTGCCTGACGAACAAATTGCAAATATTGAAACCGAAGAACAACTCGAAGAAATGGTTAATTCTTTGGAAGAAAATTTGAGTAGTAGCCATACTGAAAATCATATTTCAAAAGAAAATATTGAAAAGGAGTTGCAACCCGCCATGTCCTCATATCAAGCCCTGACTGAACAACATGAGTTTATTTCTATAAAAAGAGCTGCAGCGAAAGAAAATCTATTACTGCAAGCAACGAAAATGTTACGAACCTCAAAAGGAAAATTTCCTTCTCCTCAAATTGGTGATACCTCCTGTTCAATTGGTGAATTATTGTGGGAATAGAAGATTCCTACTTTTATATATTAGTAAATAAAAAAGGTATCCTCAAGCAGGTTTATACCCGTAATCAGTTTGTAACTTGTAAAGAAAAGTTATTTTCCACAAATAAAATTTCTTCTCAAGAAATGTCGCTGTGAGAAGCAGCTGCAATTAGTGTTTTATGTGTTCCATAACCAAATGCAGTTGTAATAGCAAGGGACTCATGTGCAATTCAAAGTGTCATAACAATATAAGTTGTTGCAATAAATAAGATTATCAATCACATAATTAAGCCCTTGCGCTATTTTCACGATGATCACGAAGATGAAAATTTTAGGCCAAACATGGATATCACGAGTCAGGCTTGTAATCGACATTTCGGGCCAAACATGAATATCACAAGCCGTACTCGTTGGTCCTATTGTCAGTCGTAAGATATCGTGTTTAAAGTTCCGACACTCGGGTTCTGCCATTTCGACTGTTTTTGCGACCATTCGCGTGCATAGGTTAGGCACGGCTTATTCCGAATTTCAGTGTAGTGCAAGGGGTTAAGTAACTTTATTATTGGGATTATTTTCTTTTTAAGTTCAACAGTTTATTTACATTTGTTGTTACTTAAGTTTTCTTCTATTTTGATATATATTATAATAAGTTTTAATAATAAAGTATTATTTAAAAACGTAACAAAAATATTTTTATTCAACACTCACTGTCAGTGCATGGTGACTGTCGACATTTGCCAGGGTAAATCAAAAATAAGGATATTTAGTAAATATTTCAGCCATACACCAAGCGACTATATGAACCTTGATATTTTCCAATTTCGGCATTTAACGGTAACGCATATATATAAAAGCAGAGCAGTTTTCCTATGTATAGGAGGGCCAAAGCATATTTGTGCTTATCAAAATATACCAGTAATGGCCTGGCCTAAATGTATAAAAATATACCAAAATATTTGATCTTTCACCGACGTATTTGGAATGTGTTGACATTCATCGTGTGAATCTTCATATTCTCCAATTTCGATCTTTCAAGGTAATATATAACTTACTGTTTATTTCAAGAAAATTTTAGTTTAGTATACAACTTATATTTATAACTTATGCATGTAATGCTTTACAAAGAGAAAACAGTTTACTTATTCGAAGATTGTTTACTTTAAAAATAATACTTTTACGCAAATTGATGCTATTTTTTATAATATACAAAAATTGAGTAAATCTTCAGCTATATACAGATATATATTTATGTCCTTTATGTGTATATCTGTGTGTTTGTATATATGTTACAGATGTTCATAGAGATTTCCACGGAAATTTGTATTTTTCGTTCTCTATCGTAACGAAAGATACACAGGTTTAGAATGAAATGTTCTTTATCTGTATGAGTTGTTTTGGGGGGAGGCGTTGCGTATGGTTGTGTGTGTCTGTGCCCGAGAATGTATTCTTTTCAACGTTGTTTAAATAGTAATTAGATATTCTATAGACTATCAAAGTGTTATGTTCAATGCTTAGGAAAAATATATATAATTTATAAATATGTAGATGTTGAATATCTACATTTAGAGGTCCGAATATATCAAATACAAAGAGAGAAATAAACATCGGACTAAATTAAATTTACAATTAGATACATAATTATGTTATCGGTATTATCACCAATAATACAGCGTATTCATTTACTTTTAAACAATTTAACTATAATAAGTCCTTACTATAAGTTCGAGTGCTTTTTTGTCTTCTGGATAATTTTTACAAGTCTCTTCATTTGGCACATAATGTGTTTCTTTAAAATAACATAAGTAACGTCCAATCTCGCGATGATGTATATACTTTGGTTTTGTAGACAATGATAAAAATTCTGTTAACAGAAAGATAAGAAGAAACTTTATCGATAAAAAGTTAAATATTTACATTAAATTATATTTAAAAGATTAGGAACATTATACCTTCAGGAACGTATTGAGATATTCCGTCATCAAAAAGCAAATTATAAAATGGTTGTTCAAAATCTTCCCAACCACCAACTTCAAAAGGCATTTCCCATCCTATTATTACACCAATATTACTACTATATTTATTAGTCATTATTAAACCAATGGCATATTTAACTTCTGGAGTTCTTATTTTTGGTTTTATCTCTTCCTATAAATAATAATTTCATTGTAATTACATATGATCTTTGATATATAGCCAAGCAAATTAAATTAAAATATTAAAGAATTAACATATATACATACTTCAGGTTTAGAGTTAAAGTTCTTGAGCGTTTGATACTTTTTTTGCATTAAACTTGCATTTTCTGCCACGTCTATATCCTAAAATGTATTAAATTAATTCATGTTAAATGAAATTCAACATTTTCATTGAATGGAAAAAATATATATTATATAAATTTTGTTTATTGTTTCAAAACTTTAATTAACTTTGTCTATAATTTGCAACATTACCACTAAATCTGATAAATCCATCTGATGACGTTTACAAAATTGGCTCAAGTTGTATAAAGTAGATTCATCGTGAGGCTGTACCATGTAGCTTAATTCTAAAACAGAACGTATGCGTGCTGCTCTACCATTCAAATCATTATATTGTCTTGCCGCTACACTTAGATTACATACTAATCTTGCTGTAACCTTTTAATCAATCAATAAAGAAAATATATAAATATTAATTATGTAAATCATAAAATTATTAAATTCTCCATCAATCTATTGTATAATAGAAATTAAATTTATAGAAATATAATAATGTACCTCTACAGCAGTTGCAACATTATGTGAATTGTATTTTTCTATTGGACATTTAAAATTGTGGTGAGAAATTCCACCAACTCCAGAGCAATCTTCTTTTCTTAAAAAGTGACCACCATTCAACATATCGATATAAAAATTTTCTGTACTTTCTAGATCTGAAACATTACTATAAAAGAGAAGTTATGAATTTGTAAAAAATTTATTTGACATATGATATTAATTTCTTTTTTATTTTAAGATATCATAGAGTAATAAGCAATTCAAGAATAAATACTTACTATTTTTCTTTCCATCGTAAAAAGAAATGCGATGGAAAATTAACGGGCTCGCATCTTATTCCAAGTCGTCTTGCAATGCTTTCAAATATAATTGCAAGAATTATAGGAGTTCCTTCTTTTAGTTCCAACACCTATAAACCACAAAAAAATATTCTTGTAAAAATATATTAATGACATATAAAACAATATAACTCGCTTAAAAAATTTACCTTATCAATAAATAAATTATTTGGGTAATAATACATATCATTATTGCCATGGAAACCTAATTTGTGAAACATAACTTCGCAAAGTGCATTCATAATTTCTTTCGTTTCTTGAATACTCCAATAATTGTCATCAATTATTTCACGTTTCCAAATTAAAAATTGTTCCGGAGGTAATGAAAATATAGAATGCTCAGGATGCCTTTCATATATTAAATCTTTTGTTTGATTAGCTATGTCGTCGAGTAATGAGGAAATATAGGAATAAGAAAWASAKYTTTCTGGTTGAYTCCATTGTGCTACAAAAGTTGCACAACGTTCTAASRTTTGTTCATTTACTGGAAGATTAATAAATCTTTGCCATTTTTTCGTAATATAATTTTGTTTCAGATATCGTAAAACAATAACGGCATAATATCTGTGGGTTAAGTTACTATGTCTGTGGAGAAAATAAATATAAATATATATAAAAGTAAAGTGTTATACAATGTATTAAAATTATCATGTAATTAAAAGTATCATATGTGTTTAGTTGAAATATGACTCACGCATAATGACAGTTTATGAGACTGATGAGTTCATCAACAAGAAAATAATAATTTAATGGATACGCGCCTAATTCCGGACGAAACAATGGATCTAAATATTTTAATTCTGAATTGGACACTTCTTCCTTTGTGTAATATTTACTGGACATTAGAGACAAGTGATACATTAAACTACGTCTAATTTCCAAGCTAACTTTTATTTCATTTAACCAGTTTAATACTTTTATATCTGCAGTAAATTTTTCGTATTTCTTTTTCAAGCGGGGCCATCTGTAATAATTAATATTAAATACAAAATAATATTACATATGTATATATATATATATATATATATATATGTAATTCGAAAGTCATTAAAAACGAAAGATAAATATAATATATTAGTAATATATCTAAGATTATAAATACCTTTGGAAGTATTTCACTCGCCATAATTGATTATTTTTGACAGTTAGATATAAACGCTTGCATGTCATAGAAAATTTGATAATATCTAAAAATGTAATACTCTCATCTTCCAAAATATATCCAATAATCTCTTCTGGTACACGTGTTATGACATCTGCAGCCATTTTTGGTAATTTTTATAATACGATAACGAATAAATGAATAAATCGCAGTAATTTAAATTCCATTTATTTAAAAGCTGACCGACTCAACACGATTTTAAGTGACGTAGACTAGTAAGATAAAATGAATCAATAAATAGAAAAATAAAAATTTTCTAGTAACTTGAATACCAAATATTACTAGTTCAAAGTAGTTTTAATTAGAAGCTTGTAGAGAGCGTTAATCCCTACGTTTGTGTACATCCTCCTCAGTATGTGACAAATATAGTGTTGCAACTGAACGAATATATGTCATAGCAATTCATCGTTAAATTATCGTAAATAAATGAACTTTATATAAATAATGACAAACAAATAAGAAAGAAAATAATTTCATTTCGAGTTATAATCTGTTCAATTAATGATATGATAATGATATATGAAAATGATTTAAAAAAACAATATAAAAGAAAAGAAAGATAAAGATTGCATTTGAAATAAAATCGACGTGGTGGACGCACCTTTATATTGTGGCGACCTATCAACGTGTGATAATAGCTTATTGTTTGTGCTTGACGTTAAAGAAACAGAAGAAGAATATTTCGTAGTAGTGTGTTCTGGGAATAATACATAAGCAGATATATATGTATATGTATATATACATATATATATATAATATATATATATAATATATATATGTAATCCTACCGTTAGATGTGCGATAATTATTATCTTCGTAAGGTAGAGTAACGTTGGATTTATTTCGCTTTGAAAGTGAAAGTTAAGTGTTCGAAGAAAGAGAGAGAAAGAGTGAGAGAGAGAGAGGAGAGAGAGAATAAAAGTAAAAAGTTGATTGATTTTTCAATAGCAAAGAATATAACTGCAACAGTGAAATCTTTGATAATTTGATGTCATTGACAAAACGAGGATTGCCCTTGAATATAATGTGCATTAATTGAGAAAACAAAATAAACGTATAAGTTAAAAGTGAGAACGAGAAAGAAAAAAGAAAGTTTTTGATCTTCATCGTAGGAAAATTAGAAGAGAACATTTTTTCTAATTTTTAATCTTGATGGATAAGAATGACGATATCTTTCACATGTTTTGTAAGTCTATTATCTTTTATTAATATATTATTTAATTAGTCCCAATCCTCTTTCTTCTCTTTATGGAAGACAAAAACTAGCTTTTTAAATGTAAAAAAAATATATTTAAGTTATATTAAGAGTAAGTCTTATTAATATTATAATAACAATTAAAAATGATTATTTTATTTTCTGTTAAACTGTGATGAATCATACTAGCGGTAAATTTCAAATTTTTCCTAATTTTCTATGTATGTTAGGTTTTTATTTATTTTTTAACTTTTTTCTTTAACGATTAACTAAATTAATTCAATTAACGTAATTTATAGGTTAAATTTTCGATGAATTAACAAAAAGATTCGAAAAGATAATGTTTTTTTATGTATTTTTTTATATTATAATATTACACTATAAATGCACATCGAGAACAATGGAAGTGATTGATAGAAGATAAACATTTGACGTCAATTTTTTGTGTTTATCATTAATTTTTATCACTTGTATACCTAATCGTATTATTTCATGAATAAGAGCTTTTAAATATGTAGCCTACAGAGATATTGTTGAATTTATTTTATATATTTCTTCTATGCGAAAACTGATAAAGTATTTAATATTGATTTTTGATAGGAGGAATTTTGAAATTTATACTGTATAATTTTAAGCTTTGTGTATTTATTTTATAATTGTTAATAGAGAATATGTTGTTACTCTTTAAAAGGAAATTATTACTTATCTTTTAAAAAATTTAACAAATTTTGAGGTTATATTGTTAGTTATCTTCTTTGAAATTACTTCCATTTGTTTTTTTATTTTCAAAATCAAAACTTGTATAAGTGATGTCAGTACTGTACAGTATAATGTAATAATCATTAAAATTCTTAAGTTGTATTAATTGTAATTTTTTTTTTCCTTAGTGAAAACATAAGACATGGTTTGGATGTAGCATATCCAATATACTGGCAAGTATGTTTAATGCAGAGCCTGAATCTGTCTCTGAAGGTTGGCATACATACGAATTACCTAGCACAATGATCCCCAATGCAAGTTCTGGGATTGATGATGAAGATCACTTTTGCAAGCTCATATTGTATAAAGAGATTAAGGATTCCAGGTATGTGACTGTATCGGAGAAAAGTTCACAATCATTGTATAACTTGTAGTATTTTTCAGAGTTCGTATATGGGACGTTATAATACTAGTACCGAATTTGTTATTTCTTCTATTTATTGCTATAAGATTTAACAGAGCAAGGCTTAAGTTACGTGCAACGAGTAGTCCAATATTTTTAGCATTTTATGGACTTGTTATTTGTAACGTCGTTATCTCTGTAATACGATGTATTGTATCAATGACAGTTAATGCGGCAGCTACAGTTGGTGGTAAAGCAGACAAAGTGCTTTGGGTTACAGTTAGATTTTTTTTATTATCTACGGAGATGAGCGTAGTAATATTTGGTTTAGCTTTTGGTAAGTTCAGTTGTTTTATTATTTACTACAAGGAATAGCTCTTGTCTTTTGTCCTAATCAATAAATTCTTGCATTTATTTTTTTAGGACATTTGGATAGTCGGTCGAGTATTCGTAGAGTATTACTCGCCACATCTTTTATCGCTTTAGCGTTCACTATAACTCAAGGGACTTTAGAATTAGTTTTACCAGATGACACATTCCATATTCCAAGTAGAGACTTTTACGTGTTTGGTCATGGTGGTATGATGTTTTGGTTTTGCAGCAGTCTTGTTTTTACTACGGTAATATTTATTTTATAATTAATCTAAATGTATTTATACGTATTTTTACTGTTTATAGTTTCATTGGAAATAATTTTATATTTTTTTAGATATATCTTTTTATATTGATATTACCATGGACACGATTAAGAGAACGTTTAGCACTTCCAAGTAAGTTTGGAATTGATTATGTTGATATAGTGCTATGTTGAATCTAGATATCTTAATGATGTGTTATTATAGCACGGAAAAGTTTTTACGTTTATGCGGGCACGTTGGCTATGATGGATTTAGTACAATCAATTGGTGCAGGTTTTTTAACTTACACGCAAAATCCTGTTGGACTGTGCATTGTAGATTTTACTGCAGCAGTTTATTTAACTCTATTTACGCCATTGGTATATCACACTTTCCTATCAGAATTTCTTGGGTAAGTGTTCTTTCTTGTAGACATTTTGTTTTTAATTTTTATTTTTATATTAGTTCTGGGAATTTTTTTATGTAGAATTGCATTTTATCGTTCTAGTGTCTCACAACCTTCAATAATGTTTTCGTACAAAGCACAAGTTGACGATGCAATGGATGAAGACACTGTATCGCTTCCTCATCAACAGAGTTTCTCATCGTTAAAAACTGACAGCGATTACATCTATCAGGTCCATACTCCGTCTATTCACATGCCCTTGTATGATCCTCAGGCATCAAATGCATCTACTGCAATGCATAGGACTTCTCTGTACTCCTTAACATCTGCGAAGGATTCTAAATATAATACTACTAATTCTTATGACTCTCAAGTCGCATTAAATAGATCACCTGGTATTAAAAATTTCGCTAGACGTTTTAGTGCAGAGAAACTTATAAACGATTTCGCACATTATCCTTTAACTAAATCGGACAGTGTAAGTGATATTCAAAAGAGCTCGTTGGATATTAAATTTTACAAACCGATGTTAAAAAGTGATTTATCGTATAAAATTAAATTTGGCACAGCCAAGAGTGTCTCTAATTTAATATCGTCCGCAAATACTGCTAGTAATTTTATTTATAATCCACGAATAAATAGTAGTAATTCGAATCTTTTTTTTCCTAATAAGAAAATTCATTCGGAGAATGCTTTAACAGTTTTTACATCCTATAACAAAGAATCAATGAATAGTGACTTATCAGTTAAATATAGAAAGAACGAAGAAACTGATAAAAATTCCATATCTTGTTCTGAAAAGTCTTTAAATATATTAGATTCTTCTCTTTTAAGGAATGATAACAGATCGAAGAACATATTAAAAAATAAAGATAGTTTAACTAAAAGCAGTAGTGAAGTTAGATTGCAAAAAGATAAAGATTTAGAATTTATTCAAAGTCGTTCAGAAAATCGATTGCTCGATATTTCAGAAATTCCAAATGTTAGAAAAGATCTATTATCCGAGACTGAGCCACTTTCAAATGAACATATTTCTAAGATTAACTCTAATCGTTCAAAAGAAAAGGAATCTGCTGGCTTAAATCAATATTTGTCATCGTTGACGTCTACCAAATTGGAGAAACCTATTAAAGAACAATCAAAATCTTTATACGTACAAACGGAATCTTTGTAAATAATTAATCAAATGTGTACTAACTTATCAGGATTTTAATATATAAATATTTAGTCTGTATATAGTAGTACATAATTTCATGATTATATATGTGTATATATATATATATATATATGCAGAGAGAGAACTTTATTGGTTTTATTAATTTTGATATTACATTGGGAATATAATTAAATAGGCTAATTAATTATTTAAGTATAATTCTAAAAATGAGATGGCGAATGCGTTCGCAAATCTGTATATATGTGTGCGGTTGCTATGTGTATGCGTGAGAGATGTGCGTTTGTGTAGATATATATATATATATACAGCATGATTATAGGATATGCTCTTAATTAAAAAAACAATTTGATGTAGTCTATATATGCACTTGGTTTTAATTTACTTATATATATATATATATGTTACCGTCGAAGTCGGAAATCAGTCAATGCTAGTAATTCCTCGGCATTGTTATGAATGCAAAGAGCCTTTACACGAAATCGGAAATAAGACTATTTACAGAGTTTTCCCTAGGCATCGAACATAATACTTTGATATTCTATAGAATATCAAATTACTATTTAAACAACGTTGTAAAGAATACATTCTCAGGTACAGACACACACAGCCATACGCAACCCCTCCTCTACAAAACAACCCATACAGGTAAAAAACATTTCGTTCTAAACCTATGTATCTTCCGATACGATAGGGAACAAAAGTTACAGATTTTTGTGAAAATCTTTATGAATGTCTAGAAAATGTAACCTGAACATTTGCAAATCGATTTATAATTCGATAATATATGCTTTAAATTGTGCATCTTTGCAATTTCTTTGAAAAGTTTTGGTAAATATTTTTTGTATTAAAAGAAAATAGATTTTAATAAAATTTATATTAAATTAAAGTACACTCTTTTCTCTACGTGTAGAATACCATATCGAGTAATAAATCAATCTCTAATAATAAGCACTCTTAAATAATAATCTCTAAAAATAACACTCTTAAATAATAGCACTCTTTTGGCTACACGTAGAGTACCTTTTCGCGTTATAAATCAATCTGCAAAGGTTCATAAAATGGCAAAGAAAAATTGGCGGATCAGGCAATGTGAGCAATGCCTGATAACCAGTGCGGTGCGGTGCGGTTGCGGTATTTAAATAGTAATTTGATATTCTATAGAATATCAAAGTATTATGTCCGATGCCTAGGGAAAACTGTAAGAATTCTTCTGTTTCCGACTTCATCGGAATGCTCTTTGCATTGATGAGAATGCCGAGGTATTACTAGCAATGGCGGATTTCCGGCTATGACGGTAACATATATATATATATGAAATAACTTGGTAATGCCCGTGCCTATCATTAACATATTTATTTCATTTTAACCATGAAATTATTCATATTTGATAAAAATATTATAATAAGAAAGAAATTTAATTGCGTGCTTTATTTTATTTTTATTTTTTTTATGTTGTTGTTGTTTTGTTTGTCAATCACAAAGTAAATTTTCATGCATTAGTAAAAGCTAAGCTTTGCACTCTGCTTACATACATCACACACGCAATCAATTTTTAGAATATTATCTCTTTACAAATTTATATGATCTATATACAAATATGCACACGCATAAATTCTTGCTAATTTGATCAATTAATGAATCAATGAACTATTTATCTGAAATTTATGGCAAATAATAATTAAGAGATAATATGCATTTTACTATGGATAGATACTTTTCTTCTGTTTACAGAATCACAGTGTTTACGACTCTACCCAATTCGACACGAATACAACTCCAGTGAATCCATTGTATGCAGCATCTCTACAGAGTCCAGATAGCATTACTGGTTACAGTATAGACAGTCAAGAGACACAGAACCAAACCAACGGTTATCAACAATGAAGTTATTATTTTTACAATTAATCATAAAAATAATATCTCTGCAAATAAACATTGAAATTCCAAATAGATCTGAACGAATAGATCTGAAAACTTTGTTTCGAGTAAGAGAGCTTTGCAAAAAAAAATCCACTGTCAAAGTGTTCCAACAATATCTGGTAGGTTTCTGCGAGAAAGAAGATGAAGAAAAAATATGTGTTACAAATATCTGTAACATAATAGTTAACATATAAGATTCTATCTGTATATATATAAAGTATAAACATTGATAGAATTCTAGTCCTTCTTAAATAAAAGGAAAAAAAAGAAGTAAAGAAAAGACATAATTTCAGGGCCGTAATGATTATTATAGGCTCTCCCTGTGATAGGATACGAATGTATTTATAAATAATTCACGACGGCGATGATGATCATAATGAAAATGATGGTATATTAGAAAAAGAACAATCGTAAATCTCAAAATATACATTTACATTATATAGAAATCTAGCCTATCTAATATTAATTAATTTTATTATTTTTTCTTCAGCCACCCCCCGATTAAAAGCCAAGAACGAAGAATGATCATGTATACTATTTAGGAATAATTTCTTTCGCGAATCTCTTCCTCTTTCTCTTTCTCTTTCTCTAAAACATATATAGATCTATATAGATAGGAAAACAAAAACAGAATTAAAAAAGAGGGATGTCGAAGTGAAATAAATACTAACGTTGCGTAACACGTACTTATTAATACGAAACAGAATAAGAACAAAAAAATGGAAACGTATATGTATACAATATGTAATTATAGAATTTGATTTTAAATCTTATTTTAGTCTGTTTGGTTGGATGTTGTTGAAAAAAAGAAATGAATCGAATGAAATTTCTGTTTCTCTCTCTCTCTCTCTCTCTTTCTCTTTCTCTTTCTCTCTTCCTTCGGTATTTGCAATACATGCATACATACATGTATACACACATGTACATACATTCTATAAGTGATCTAATTTGGTAAAATATATATGATAAAAAAAATTAAAATAAAATAAAGGAAGAGGAGACAAATAACGCGATCATTTATCGAAAACAATTTGTCATTGATTGATGAGACTTAACTGACACAAATAAAATATAAACAAAATAAAACGGATGATGATGACCAGCATTCGATGAGGCAAATTTGATAGATATTCTATAGACGGATTTTAAAATACACTATCCTCGATTTTTCCGTCCTAATTATCGGATGAAATTATTCTAACGCATGTTGTATAATTGATGACATTGAAAAAACAACAACAAAGAAAATATCTTTTACGATTCGATGCAAGATCAAGATTATAGAACAAAAATGACGCTGGGTCTTGTTCGCTATTTTCCTACTTTTGCATCGAAAAAAAAAAAAACAAAACAAACGAACAAATCTTTTTGCAAACGATCACGAAGATTTAAACACGAAAATAATCTTCGTTTCTTACATCCTAAGCGTCATTTCCGTGATCTTGAATAATAATTTTAAGAATTATATATGTAATGATAAATTATATATATATAATAAATAATAACAATTAAATTATATATATATATATATATATATATATATAATATATACGTATAAATTGCAATTTTTTTATTTATATTATATAAATAATCTCATTAAATATATATGGGCAAAACTATTACGAACAACTCCATCCATAAAAAGTGTGCTCTGATGTGTGGGATACGTACGTTTGTATGTATGAACGTATATACAAAGAGTTACAGGAATATTCGTACCCTCTTCCACACTGCAAATTTTAAATAATTGATAATATTTATATAATTGGGGTTAAAAGTTTAATAATCTTTAAAATAGATTTCTGTATAAGAATTTGGAAAGTTTGCATTACAAGTAAATGTCAATTATTTAAAATTTACAATGGGGGCAGGTACGAATACAACTATGATTCATTGTATTTAGGTATGTATCTGTGTGAGTGATATTTATATAATTACATAAATATACAAATATTTATCGATACTGTGTCTCTATGTACTCGCATTGTACAACTTCGTTTTGCCAAGTAATAGTACACATACATTTGAGAATCGTTTGACAAATTCGCGCAATTTTTTAATGCATTTTTTCTTTAGGAATAAATAAATTTTATTCTTAAAAAAAATAATCGCGAATTTGTCAAATGATCCCTAATATTTATTTATATACATGTATATACATATATACGTATGTATGTATCGTAAGGTATCGTAAGGTATCGTAAAAAAATGTTACCACTATTTGAAAATGTGAAACATTTAAAACACTTTGAAACATTGAACGAAAATTGTACGATATTTAATAAATACTTTATAAACAGTCAAAGTGTGATAACATTTTTTGCGAGATCTTGTATACATGAAATACACTATTCAGTCACAATTAAAAAATCTCTTGTTAACCTGCCTTTTATCTTTTTTGTATATTCAATTTGATACCTATCACAAGTATCAATCTCAAAAAAGGACAGCTTATACTTATGAGAGAAAGAGAGCTTGAGAATTAACGATAAAAATTCGGAGATTAAATTAAAAAGTAAAATACTATAAGAATAATATTAATAATAATAATAGTAATAATAATTAAAATAATAATAATAAAAATAAGTAACAATTCCTTTATAAAAGTCTCTCTATAGGAAGAGAGAATGGTCTTAAGTACAGAACCGTATTTATACATTTTGGGGCCCTAACCGCACATCATTATTACGAGGCTTTTAATAAATTAATCTAATTCATTCGTATTTATTTATTTATTTATTTTTCTTTTTCAATTTATTCTAATTAAGAATTAAAATATTATATTTCATAATAACTTGTTTCTATAAAACAAATATAACGTTGCATTGATATATATATATGTATGTATTATTAGACTATGTTTTTTAAAAAAACATTTTTCTAAGGGATAAGAATTTTAAAATGTAACCCCACAGAGAGAGAGAGAGAGAGTGAGGCCTCAGCTTGCACCTTATCATAAGTACGGCCCTGTACAGGTGGTTTAGTTGATAAGATCTTTCCTCAGGATATTATCAATAAAATTAAGATGATCAATGAGAACGGGATCGATGATGATGATGATGATGATTTAGTAATATGTTCATTACGTATATATAGAATTTAATTTTTAGCGGATATTCGCGTGTTTGTATATATACACATAGAAAAAGAATACGAAGAGGAAGAGTTGGTAGAGGAGGAGGAGGAGGAGGAGGAGGAGGAGGAAAGGGGAGGTGATAATGTAAACGTTTAAAAGTCGACGAATGTTTAAGTCAATTGCAAATCAATTTAGACTCTCAGATTTGTGCTCTATATGCATGCATACATAAATACATACATACATACATACATACAAATATAAATATATACAGGATTTATATATACAATTCGATAACACGTAGGTATATATATATACTTTACGGGGAAGAAAGAATAACTTTCTGTGAATTTTTTTGTAATGTACAAATGGCAAACAAATAAAACATATTGTATAATCGCGTCGTCGGAAGTGTGTGCGTGTATGTGTCTGTGTGTGTTTCATAGCACAAACAAAGTCGGCAATAAAGGTACCAGTTTAAAAACACGAATATGAATTATGGTTTTTATTTGAATCATCTTTCATTTATAATAATTATTATTATTATTTTCTTTCATTCATCCATATATATTTACAATTCATGATGATGTGACTTTAAATAAAAAGGAAAAACAATGATACGAAATATGTGATATTAAAGTTGCAAGATTAAATACACTTTATTTTCTTTTTTTTTTTTTTTTCTTTTTTTTTGTTAACTGAAGGATTGATTTAGAAATAAGATTAGTTAGATATCACTTGTTATATAACAAAATTTTTCATTAGAAAGAAACTAACGTGGATTACATTGTGAACAATATGAAACAGAAGATTAATAATTATATTCTTTCATTGTTCCTTTCTTTTTTAATCTTCTTCTAATATCAATCGTTTCAATTTAGACATGTGTCGTTTCGATAAAAACCACATCAGAGAATAGAAGGTCAATATTATTTTTTTCTTATTCTTTCTCTAACTTCTTTTAGTACTATTCTGACGCAACGAAATGAAAAAGAGATGGATCTAATATTTTCTTTCCAGTCATTGTGTTTTGTCGTCGCCATCATAGGTACTCATTATCGTCAATTCTCGAAGAAATATATCGTGTCTTTCACTAGGGTTAGTTGAAACATCTAAGAAGACGATATCTAAATGTTTTTTATTAACAAATATACAGTATAATATATATATCGTAACAGATCACAAAAAAAAAAGGTTATTTTATAAAATAATGTTTATTTTTATTTCGATAAATGAGAAGAACAATATTTGACATTTTTCATTTAAATTGTTCATTATTTAATTTTAATTTTAAATATTTTATTCTTAAATAATATTATGTTATTTTACATTATATTTATTTTCTAATATAATACATCTACAAAACTATAATACAGTAATAACCAAGTGCACATATCTATACATATATATATATACAAACATTGTATGTATACATATAAGGATAATTGTTCATAAATGACGGTATAAACACGTTCGACGTCATCAGATTACGTCAGTTAAAATAAATCATATTTTGTTATTATTAGTTTTTAATGAAACCATAAATAAACATATCTCTCATTCTCTCTCTCTCTCTCTCTGTTTCTCTCTTACGATTTCCACGAAGTATTCGATACGTCATTCGATGATCCATCCTTTTTTCGATGACGATCAGGATCTTATTTTATACATTTATTCTTCTATAAAAAATAATTCTATTTTAATATCTTGTAGAGTAGATCAATAAAGACGAGATCTATCTAATCGATCTTTGTAATAAAATAAGACGGAGAATAAGTCGTACGACATTGTGCGTTTATTCCCGCTACAATTCAATTGACCCAATTATATGTGTGAGCAGAAATAAGATATATGTATATAGATAAATAGAATACCTACTAGGAGAAAGGGTATACGTTAATCAAGTAGATAAATTTACACATGTCTATTCACATACAGCACACACATATACAGATATATATATATATACGTACGTGTTCATA